GTTGGGCCCGGGCGGAGGGGCGGGAGCGCGGGCCGGGCCGGGCCGGGCGCTGGTTGGGCCCGGGCGGAGGGGCGGGAGCGCGGGCCGGGCCGGGCGGCAGCGATGGCGGGCGCGGCGCTGTCGCGGGTGCCGGCCGTGCAGATCGATGGCGACGGTGTCTTCAAGTACGTGCTGCTGCGGGTGCGCGGGCCCGGCGCGCCCGCCAAGGACGTCGTGCGAGGCCACGCGTGGGCCGAGTACCACGGTGAGGGGCGTCGGGAGTGCGGGGCGGGGCTCTGGCGCGGGGTGCGAGGGAGGCGGCCGCGGGCCCCGGGGACGGGCGGGGGCTTGGCGGGCGCCTGGCCCGTCACGGGGCGGCGGCTGAGGCGAGGGGGTCTCCGCGCCGCCCCCGCTCCCTCCCTGCAGCCGACTTGCTGGAGCGCACGGCGGAGGAGCTGGCGCGGCACGGCCTGAGCTGTGAGTGCCTGGGCGGCGGCCGCCTGTCCCACCGGCCCGAGGAGAGGAAGATCCACGTCTACGGGTACTCGGTGGTAAGCGGGAGCGGGGGGGACCCACGCACGGACGCGGCATCTCTCTTCGCACTGTAGTTCCACTGGCGGCGGCCGAGTTGGCATCGCATCCCCTCGGGGGTGGAAGGGTGAGCGGGGCGCTCCCGGGGCTCCTGCCGTTCCCCCGAGTGCCCCGGGGCGGGGAGACTGCGCAGAGCCCTTGCAGGAGAGCAGTGTTTGGCCAAAGCAGGGTCACCCCGTGAACCCCCCGGCACCTGCCTGTGGGGCTGCCGCACACCCAAAGTCCCCGGAGGTCCCGTGGGGTCCCCACAGTGGCTGTACCCAGTGCTGGGTGCTTCCAGGGGGAATTGGGCTGCACAAGAACCCTGTCTCTGCTTTGTGTGTCCTGAGGGCGTTCCTGCAGGAGTGTCAGGTGCTGTAGGGGCCTCGTAAAGGGTGATTGGAGGTACCCTTGGGACATCACTGTCATGGTGTGTCCTTGGACGCTGGCCCCAGCCCAGGGCTGTGCTGCAGCACCAGCTGTGCTGGGTGCTGACTGCAGAGCCCAGCTGGGATCAGGGCAGGGTGGTGGTCCCTGGGCCACAGTGCACACAGTTTTCCCAGCTTCAGAGTGGCACTGTCCTCTTGCCTTGGTGCTACACCAGCCTCAGCTGGAGTCAGGAAGGGCTGGAACAGGCTCTGTGGCATCTCTGCTGCTGGGGTCTGCCAGAGCTGCCGTGGGGATTTGCCGGGCTTTTCTGCAAGTTACCACCAGCTCTCCTTGGGAACCCTCTTTTCCTGTGCAGGGCTTTGGACGAGCTGACCACGCCGTGACCACAGAGAAGCTGAAGGCCGAATATCCCGACTATGAGATCACCTGGGCAGATGAAGGGTACTGACTCCTGTGTCTGTGGTGGCAGCCCAGAACTGGCACAGCTGTATGCAGCACCGGGGTGGTGGCAGCAGGCTCCCCGTGCTCGGCCGTGCTCCAGGCTCTCCTGATTTTCCTCTGTGTTGAACTTGCCCGTTCTCCGCTAATACTGGACTGTCCTCGTGCCAGGTGCTCCCACCTCCCTGGCATGGCAAAGCTGGTAAAGCCAGTGGTTGCCCTGCCCCAGCCTCCTGGTGCCAGGGGCTCATCCACGTGTATCTGTGAGAATTAAAGTCATTGGAGGAGCACAGCTGCTCTGGTGGCCATGCTCATGGTTTGGCTGCTCCTTCCCAGCTCTGGGTTGTGCCTGTTGACAGTGGAAGGGACCCCCCAGGTTAACCGGCCCTTGAGGGGGAGCTGGCATGGGAGCAGGCAGAGTCTGGGCTGGGAACAGCAATAAGTGTATCAGGATTTGCCTTGGAAAAGAGGAGAGAGGAAAGCAATGGTCAAGCCTGGGAGAGGGAAAGGCAGGATGGACCTGAGGGAAAGACCAGCCCCATCTCCTGCAGGAAGGGAACTGAGCTACCTGGGAGCATGATTGGGAAGAACATGCCCATTCCCATTCTGGCAGGTGGTCACATCTTGAGGAAGAGCATCCTCCCTGAATTCGTCCCTCCAGCCACCCAGGACCATCTTGGAATTTCCCAGGGATTCTCCCTGCTTGTGCTTCCAAATGAGGAGCAGTAGAGGGAGACTGGGAAAAGCTGCTGGAGACTTCAGTGGCTGGAGAGCTCCAGGGAGATGTCCAGGCTGGGTTAGTTCAGTTGCTGTCCCACGTGAGGCTGGGGCTGGAGGACCCTCCCAGCCCCATTTCATTGTCAGACTCTGACCCTGAATGCTCCCTGCTGCTGCCTCTGCCTCATGCCTTCAGGTATGTGGGCTCCTTCCTCTGTGTCCAGAGCCATGCAGGGTCAGTTCAACCTGCAGAAGCTCAGCCTGTGCCCAAAGGAAGTTTGGGCATTCAGTGGGGGGATGAGTTTCACAGGCAAAAACATAGCTGTGCTGTGCCTCATTCTACATTCTGTAAGGTGTGACTCTCCCCTGTGCTGAGGGGAATGTTAGCCTCAAGTCACACAGAGTCAGCTGCAAACCTGCAAGTCACTGGATTTTGGAGTTTGGAGGCACCCTCTGGGATGTCCTGTCCATCCACTGGCCTAGCAGAGCCAGCTTCAGTGGGTCCATAGTGGTAGGATCGCTGAGATATGCTGTGCAGGCTCAGGAGTTGGACTCAATAGTCCCTGTGGGTCTCTTCCAACACAGGGAGTTCCATGATTCTGTTCTAGAATTAGGCTGCTGGAAGCTATGACTGGGTGGAGTTGAGAATCTCCACAACTTGGACCTCCCAGCAGCTTGGGCGTCTGCTCTGGTTTTGATAGCCCTCACAGGAGAAAAAAGCTTTTCTTTTAAGTGGCATTTGCTGTTCTTGCTTTGTTCTTGTCTCAGTCCTTACTGGGACACTCCCTGCTTGAAGGGTTGGCTCCCTGCACCTTCCTGCCAGGACTTAGCAGAGTGACATCCCCCTACACCTTCTCCAAGCTGGGCATATCCAGCTCAGCCTCTCCTTGTGGGAGGTGCAGTCCCCTCATCATCATCAGGGAATATCCTTCTGTGAAGATACTCAAAAACCATCTGGACACATCCTCCAGGGAACCCTTGTGGAGCAGAGGGGTGGGATGGGGTGACCTCCTGTCGTGCCTTCCATTCTGTTACTATCCTGTGATCATCATCACTTGATCTGCTCCAGTATGCCCACATCTCATACTGGGAGCACCAGCATCCGCAGTGCAAAGGGGAGGGGTTCAGATCTGTGAGAGAGGCTCTGCCCATGGCACCCAGGAGGCCAGTGGCCACTTTGCCAATGGCCAGCTTGGTACTGCCAGGTTCCTGGGCAGGGCTCCTGCTCTCCAGCATGCCTGGACTGGGGGATGTGGGGCTGTTGGTCTGCACTGGGCCTGGCTGGCACTGGGAGAAAGAGCTGAGCCTGTGTTTTACTGCCCCTGTTGCAATCCCATTGCAATCTGCCTTCCAGGCTGTTGGCTCGGTGGGAGGATCTGCTCAACAGGGCCCCTCTCAGGGGATGAAGGCTGTGGCAGCAGAGGGCAGAGGGGTCCTGTGGAGTAGCAACCCCTTTTTCCCCTGCCCAGGTAAGGAGACCAGTGGGGTCAGTAGTTGCCATCGCCAGGCAACAGTGGTGGTGATCTGTGGGGCTCTGGCTGCCAAGCTGTGCTTCTTCCAGGCTCATCAGCCCTTGCTGGGGCTCTGCCAGAATGTTTTGCCCCAGGAATGATCTGCTTGTGGCCCTGCAGCTGTGCCCCCTTGCCCCATGGCATTCACGAGCTGGGTGCCGAGATGCTCCTGCCAGCCAGAGCAGAGCAGGCAGGGTGAAGGCTTGCTCCTCCTGATAATATTTTGGGATCCCCAGGCTGCAGGGGGACTTCAGAGCCCCTTTCAGTGCCTAAAGGGCTCCAGGAGAGCCTGGAGAGGGACTTTGGACAAGAACTTGGTGTGACAAGACAAGATGGAATGACTTTCCACTGCCAGAGGGCAGGGTAAAATGGAATATTGGAAATACAGCTGACTCCTAGCTCAGCTGTTCTCTCTGGCCAGAGTGCATCCCTCTGAAAACCATTCAAAGTCTTTCCCATTCCCCTTATGCACCGGGACTGGCAGAGCCCCCATATCCCTGGCAGAGGTGCCAGATTCCCTCACAGGCTGGCAGCATCCCTGGCTCGGCAGGCAGTGTCCTCATCCCTCACCGAGCTGTGCACCGTCCCAGTCAGTGTCACCCACCGTCTTGTTCTGCGCGGAAAGCGGGCTGAAGAAGAGAGGTTCAGCGGGGAAAAGCCGCAGGTCTCCATGGGGCACTTGGCTCCAGCTGGCCGCAGGGGTGCCGGCGGTGCTGCTGCAGGATCGCGCTGCGCTGTCCCTGTCGGCACAGCCTCGCCATAAACCCGCTGCCCGGCCAGGGAGCCGATAACAGCGGGGCTGAAGTCCAACGCCGGCAGCTCCTGGGGGGCACATTCCAGCCCGGGGCTCACAGTGTGGCCTCTTGCAGCTCCGTTTTACCGTCGCGGTGACCGGCATGGCTGAAGGCGGGCAGGCGATGCTGGCCCTCCTGGTGCTGCTGAGTGAGTTCGGCTGACACGGGCGGGGGTTGTGTCGCTGGAGGGAAGGGGCCTCCGGCTGGCTGCTCCACTCTGGTCATCCACAGCAGTTTGCTCCAGCACTGGGCCAGCCCGCTGGGCTCTGCGGGTGGACTCAGCCAGGGGTTCCCAGGGTGAGTGGGTGCCGGAGCCCCCAGCAGCGGGGCTGAGCATCACCAGTGGCTTTGTTCAGCACGGGACAGAGAACGTCCAGATATTCCTGTTTCTTCCAAAAAGGGGGCTGGTACTCGAAGCACGGTTGTCGTACCGCGGAGTCAGTGCCTCAGTGCCCCGGCAGGCTCTGGCACCCCGAGGCTTACGGTGGGAGGTGGCGGTGTAAGAGATGTGGAGTGCCGGGACAGTGACTGGGGTCGGAGGAGGGGGAAGTCGTCCAGGGGAAGATGCCACTGAAAGTTCAGTACCTGCCCCAGCAGGGTCCCAAACCGAGGTGCCCAGGCAAATGCCACCTGCAGGTCACGCGTGCTTGCTTCACCTTCACCTGCTGTGGGCACCGTGCCTAGTTCCCTGCAGGGTTTTCAGCCCCATTGTCTCTCTCGTAGTCAGAGCCGTCCTCCCCAGTGGATCCGTGGTCGTCAACAGCTGCGGCAGCGTGACTGAGCAGCTCTGCAACTTTGTCTGTGACTGCAGCGACTGCTCAGATGAGAACCAGTGTGGTGGGTGCTCAGACTCCCCAGCCCCCAGACCCACCCTCAGGCCATGCTCCTGGGGTGAGAGCAGGCTATGTAGTGGGGGGTGTTGCAGGTACAGGTCCCTGGGGTGGTACTGGTGCCCAGGATGAATGCAGGGTCCCCCAGGATTTGTACAGGACCCCGGGGTGGGTGCAGGTCCACGGGGTAGGGGCAGGTCCCTTGTGCAGGTGTCCAGGGTGAACACAGGTTGCCTGGGTGCAGGTGAGTCTGCCAGGTGGGTGCAGGACCCCAGGCTGTGTGCAAGGTCCCCTGAGTAGGTGCAGCTCCCTGGAATGGGTGCAGTTCCCTGGGGTAGGCACAGGTCCCTAGGGTGGCCTCAAACCTGCCTTGACCTCCCATCTGCCCACCTTCAGGGTATCTACGGGGCTCAGCAGTGCTGGGCATCCCCTTCACCTGTGACTTTGAGGACAGTGACTGTGGCTGGCAGGACGTGGGCACCTCGATGTATGGATGGGTGCGAGGCCGGGCCAGCCTGGCCACATGGGGCATGTGGCCTCATTCAGACCACACCATAGGCACGGACCTGGGTAAGTGGGAGCTGCTTGGTGAGCAGGCTCTGGGCACCCAGAGTGCTAGTCCACTAGAGTCAGGGTGCCGGAACACCCATCTTTGTAAGGTGCAGGGGAGGGAGCAGGTCCATGGAGGGTGGGAGTAGTGCTGGCGCAGTTCTGGTACCACCCCATGGGGCTGCAGACCCTGCTCTGCTTTCTGCCCTCCCCAGGTTGGTTCTTGGTGACCATGTCTCCCCCAGCAAAGACCACAGCCACAGCCTGGCTCAGGTCACCGGAGATGCGGGAAGCAGCTGCCACATGTGAGATCAGAACCTGGTATCACCTCTCAGGGAGCTGTGAGAGCATCCAAGGTGGGCACAGGCAGCATCGGCTACTGGGCAGTGAGGATGGGAGGCAGTGGGAAGGGATGGGGCCATCTGCCCCTGTGGCAGGGACAAAACCACTGACACCTTGCCATCCTGTTTGCCTCTTCCATGCTCCACGCACAGAGCAAGTGGGACCTGGGAGTCCCAGCTCCAGCCGCCAGAGCTGACAGGGCTCCATTTGTTCCTGTGGGTACCCCAGGATGCCCTGTACCAAGGGCACTTTTGGGTCTTCCCTCAGGGCTGAACCAGACAGAGCGGCCGGTGCTGCGCCTGGCTGTAGCACACAAGGATGAGGTGGTGGAGCTTTGGCAGAGCCCTGAGCGCAGCAGTGAGGGCTGGCACCAGCTGGTTGCCTACCCCGGCCGCATCATGGAGCATTTCCAGGTGAGACAGTGTTGGTACCTTGGTACCTGGGCACTGTCCCCAGAAGCTGGGACCAGAGGAGCTGGGTGATGTTCTGAAACCTGGCCCAGGCAGCTCATGCCATCCTCATCCTATCACAGCTCATCTTCTCCCTGACGCAACCACCCACCTGTGGGGCAGAGGTGGCACTTGATGACATCATGTTCAGGAACTGTGGCTTACCAGGTGAGTCCCACATCTGCTGGGATGTGAGCTGGGATCTTAGGGGAACTGGGATGCAAAACCCAGGGGAGCTCTCCCATTGCTCAGTGCTCCCATTGTTTTGGGGCACTGTGCCCTAGCCAGAGCATGAGGTGGGCAGTGAAAACCCATCCCTTGAGCCACTTCAAGGAATGATATGGGAGTGCTCACCATGTCCCTGTGGGACCAGCCACCCGCTGACATGTGTCCCCCCCACCCCAGAGGTCGGGCAGCAGGCCTGTGGGGCCCAGGCGAGCCGCTGCCACCGTGGCTCCTGCCTGGAGCAGCAGCGTTTCTGTGACGGCACCGACGACTGCGGGGACGGCTCGGACGAGGGCACGGCGCAGTGCAGTGAGCACCCCTGGCCCTGGGGAGGAGTCCTGCGGAGGGGCTGAGGGTCTGCCTTGGTGGGGCAGATCTGTGCTCTGGGCTGGCAGGGGTCCACCCAGTTCCACCCCACACCAGGAGGGCAAAATGACCCTGAGGGTTTGCAGAGGGGTGGCATCAGTCCAGCCCATTGCCGGGACCTACCTGTCCAAGAGAGAGCTGGGACCCCAGTTTCTGGATCACTGCTGTCCCTTCTCCTCACAGAGAACTTCACCCACTGCTCCTTTGAGTATGATCTCTGTGACTGGGAGGCAGCGGCTGGGCCACCAGTGTGGGGCAGGAACACGAGCCTGAACCTGGGCATCTCCTACAGCATTCCCACTCGAGACCACAGCAACAACAGCAGGGCTGGTATGTGGCAGGGCACCAGTGCCCCAGGGGAGCCTCACTGCAGGTGGACATGCCCTGGGGTAACGCACGCCAGGGCTCTGCTCAAGGCTGTGCCAGGACAGCGGTGTCCTGCACCCACACATCTGTCTGGCTCCTCTCAGCCCCACCATTTCCTGCAGGTTTTTTCCTCCATGTGAGCAGTGACCCCACTGGTGGCACAGCTCAGCTCAGCAGCCCCACCTTCCAAGCCACCAGCTCCTGTTCTGTGAGTCACAGCTGGGACCTCATGTCACAGCTCATGTGGGACTTTCATGCAGGGCTGGGGCTGTGGTTGGCCCTTGCTGGGGATGGGCATAATGTTTTTGGAGGTGGTTTGGTGACATCTCTGGTGCTCATTGGGAGCTCTGAGCTCCTCACAGCCTCTCTGTGGGATGCAGGGGGCTGTGTGCCCCTGCCCTAAGGGCTCACCCCCCTCCCAATCCCCAGCTCGTGCTGTACTGCCACCTCCATGGCTCAGCCACCAGCAACCTCAGCATCTCCTATTTGACCAACTCTACCAAGCACCTGATGAGGGAAAGGACAGGAGACCTGGGCAACTTCTGGGTCCGGGAGAGAGTGGACTTCAATGTGACAGATGCCTTCAAGGTGGGCTTGTGCTGTGCTGGGGGGAGCTGGGCTGCCCCCAGGGTCAGGGACCACAGCTGTGCACAGGGGCAGCACCGCCCCCCAAGCCCACTAGGGCCATGCCAGCCCACGCTGTTCACCCCTGTCAGCCACAGCATTGCCCCTGCTCCCATTGAGTCCCTTCTGGGGGAAAGTGTGAGTCAGTCTATGACAGGTTCTGGCTCCCCCCATCCCATGGCTCTTTGGTGTCACCCTAATCCCCCCCATATTTTGCAGGACCCCTTGCTGATGTTTCTGACGTGTTGCTTTCCTGCAGGTGCTGATCGAGGGGGTGGCTGGCAGCGGGGGGACCGTGGCTATCGATGACCTGATCCTGTCTCAGGGCTGTGTGAAGGAGAAGGGTGAGCTGGTGGGCAGTGTTCTTCACCCTACTCCAGTGTTGGCAACTGTCCCAACTGTCTTATGCCCATGGCACCATGCCTGAAGGACAGGCACGGTCTGCCTGTCCCTCTGCTCATCAAAGGGACCATCCTGGGTGTAGCAGAGCAAATACTTGTCGTGGGGTGCTGGTGTCTTTTTCCTGTGGCTGTAACACTCCATCTTCTGCATCAAAATGTGTCACGCAAGCAGCTCTTACAAGTCCTGTGTACCCTTCAGCTGGTGGCAACTAGGCTGGGCTGGGATGGGATAGGATTGGATGGAATGGGAAATGGAGAGCCAGGAAGATGCTTGGGGACATGGGACAGTGGTTTGTCATTGCTGACACTGATGCTGTTGCTGGGCCCTTTCATCACTGCTCTCCATCCTGGGGTGTTTTACCATCAGAGAAACTTCTGGTCACACTGCCAAGCCAGGCAGGTGCCAGCCCCTGTGCAGCAGACGAGGTGGCCTGTGACAGTGGGGACTGCATTGCCGCAGAGCTGGCCTGTGACTTCGCTGACACGTGCGCTGATGGCTCCGACGAGAAGCACTGTGGTGAGAGCCAAGGCAGGCACCTGCACAAGTACCCCAGCAGTGGAGGGGACCAGGCTGGCATGGCTGGGACACGTGTGTGCCTGCACAGCCTCTGGGAGAACAATGGCCTGGCAGGACTGAGCCTGGAGTTTTGGGTAGCCCAGAGAAGCTGTGGCTGCCCCCGGATCTCTGGAAGTGTCCAAGGCTGGTTGGACAGGGCTTGGAGCACCCTGGGACAGTGGAAAGTGTCCCTGCCCATGACAGAGGGGTGGAATGAGATGAGCTTTAAGGTCCCTTCCAACCCAAACCATTCTGGGACTCTGGGGTTCTTTGACTTTGCAGGGACAACAACCTTCGAGTCAGGGGCTGGGGGCTGGCACGACGTCAGTGTGGGGCGGCTGCGCTGGGGTCTGCAGAAGGTCACTGAATCTGACATCTTCCTCATAGGTGAGGCTGTTCTCACCACCCAGACAAAGCTCTTCAGTGCTCAGCACCACGGGAGCCCCCAGAGCAAGGACTCCCAGTGGGTGCTACTGCACAACGGGAGATAATGCCCAGGCAGGATGCTGGGCTGGGGGTGCTACCAGGGATGTGGGACGCCAGTCCTCACTTCACAGAGTGTTTCTGTGCCCAGGGACTTTCCTGGCCCTCCAGACAGGAGAAGGACAGATGGTGGGTCCTGCGAAGGCACGATCGCCTCCTCTGGGCCCCTCTGGCCCTGCCTGCACCATGGAGATGAGCTACCACATCCACAGTGACCCCCAAGGTAACCTCCTGCCCACCCCCAGGGTGCCCTGACTGCTTCCTGCCCCCAGACCCCCCATGCCCACCTGCCTTTGCTGCCTCTCCCAACCCTGCTTTGCCCCATCACATCATCCTGGAGCTGGGGTGTCCGTGTCCCTGCACCCAGTGACTGTGGGCTGGTGCCATGGAGGGCTCCCACAGGGTGGCCAGGGGTTTTGGGTGTCCACAGCCTCTGCACCACCTCTTGTTCCAGGCTTCCTTGCCATCAGTGTCGCAGATCACACCACTGGCACCTCCCAACTGGTCTGGCAGACACAAGGTCGTGGCAGAACAACTGGGGGTCATGTCCGTGTCCCTCTGGGAGAGAGAAGCCGGCCCTTTCAGGTGTGCTGGATGCACAGGGACCAGCCTGGGGGGCTTTCAGTGGGACAGTGCCAGTGCTGCTGGGCACCCCAGGCTCATGGCTGTTGCCCCCAGGTCGAGCTGCTGGCACTGGTAGATCTCCAGGGCTCAGCGAGTGTCAGTGTTGACAACGTGACATTCAAGCAATGCTACCTTGATGTGGTGTCACCCACAGCTGCGGGTATGGCCAGGGGTGCGTGGGCAGGGTAACCCCACACCCTTTCCATGGGGGCTGCCTGGTGGCTCTTGCTCTGTCCAAGAGCAGGACCATGGTGCACAAGACCAAGGGCTGAGCACAATCCTGCCTTGGCCTGGGACCCCTTAGTGGGGTAAACTTGGGGAGTGGGGCAGTGGGGCGAGGGGAAAGGACATTTGGAGGACCCATTTGCTTTTGTGATGCCTTACCCCTTTCCACCTCTATTCTGTCACCCCTCTCTGTCCAGAGCTGTCCTGCAACTTTGAGAGGGGCATGTGTGGATGGTACCAGGATTTATCCAGTGACTTCAAATGGGTCCACAGCACAGGGCAGGGACAGGGCTCCGACCACACCACTGGGTCAGGTAAGGGGCTGGTTACTCTTTGAGGGAACCCAAGAACCCAGGGCATCCCACAGCCTTCAATCCCCAGAGCCAAGACATGCCTTGTACACTCCCAGCAGCCCCATGCCTATGGAGTAAGCTCACCTAGGGCAGGCTGGGAGCACCCAGATCTGGGCTGTGGGTGATGCGGAACACTCACATCATGACCCCTCCCCCTGGCTGTCCCCAATATTCAGGCTACTTCTTGTCTGTGGACTCCTCTGTGCCATGGAGCCATGGGCAGCGGGCCCAGCTCCTCACTTCCCGCCAGGAGCCAGCTACGGCCCCACACTGTCTCTCCTTCTGGTACCGCCTGGCCGGCCCACAAATTGGTATGTGCCCCATGGCATCCTCCCAGGGCTGCCCCAGCCTGGCTCCACTCTGAGGACAGTGGTTTTCCCAAGGGCTGTGGGATGGCTGCCCCCATGCCCCCCTCTGCCCAGGTACCCTGAACCTCAAGCTGTGGCCAGAGGGAGGGGAGGAGGTGATGCTGTGGACCCGCCGAGGAACCCAGGGCAGCCTCTGGCACCGAGCATGGGCAACACTTCCCTCCACGGGCCAGCAGCGGTACCAGGTGATGACCAGGCCCCCCGTGCCCCTGGCACCAGCAAGACACAGGGTGTCTGACACCACTGCCTGGGGGCAGGTGGCTTTCGAGGTGCTGCATGACGGTTTCCTGGGGGACGTGGGGCTGGACGACATCACACACACAGCGGGACCCTGTGGGGCCAAGCTCTCCTGCTCCTTCGAGGTGGAGAGCTGTGGGCTGACAGCCAGTGGAGAGGGCACCTGGCAGCGCCAGAGCAACGGCACTGGCACCACCGCTGGCCCTGTGGCCGACCATACCACCGGCACCTCAGCAGGTACGGGGAGTGGCAGCCCTGTTGCTTCACTGCTGCACTGAGTGTCCCCCCTGCCTGCTCTGAGTGTCCTGCCTGTACCCCACACCAGCCTTGCCTGCTCTCCCTGTGTCATGCCTGCCCTGCCCTCCCTGCCCTCCCCAGGATGAGAAGGGGATACTGCACAGGGCTTCCCAACCCTGGAATTCCCCAAATGCAATCTCCTAACCCCAGGGCTCCCTAATCCTGGAGAGGTTCCCAAGCTGGGGAGACTCCTTGACCTGGTGGGAAAACCCAGCCGCAATTGTCCCCTAGCGCTCCCCAGCAGGGCTGAGCAGGGGTCACAGCACAGGGGCTTCTCTCCTCCAGGCCATTACATGGTGGTGAACACGGGCAGGGTCTCCCTGCCTGCTGGGCACACAGCTGCCCTCACCTCCCAGCCCTACCAGCCCTCCGTGTCTGTCCAGTGCCTGGCTTTCTGGTACCAGCTGAGCGCTGGAACCCCAGGTGAGCACCACTTGCCCTGAGACTCCTAGGGGCACCTCCAGATGGGTGGGGGCCCCACACAACACAGCCCTGGACTCCTCTTCCATGTTGGGTGCCCTGGGCAGGCTCCCTCAGGGTGTTTGTGGAGCAGAGCAGAGTGAGGAGGAAGGTTCTGAGCATGAGCACCATGGAAGGGAGCAACTGGCACCGCAGCCATGTCACTGTCCAGCCCAATGGTGAATGGCAGGTGAGACAGGGTGGGGTGCTGGGGGCAGCTGAAGGTGATGAGGGATGCATGGAGGCTGCCAGCCTCAGCATCTCACCTTGCCCAGGTGGTGTTTGAGGCAGTGGGAGCTGGGGGTGATCACGGATACATCGCACTGGATGACCTGCACGTGTCAGAGGGAGCCTGTCCCAAGCCAGGTGAGACACCACCCCACAGGGGCACTATGGATCGGGGAGGAGGATGGCACATCCTGTAGTGGCATGTAAGCCATGGGGACAGGGACAGACCTGTTCCTGCCCTGAGCTTGGCCTGGCCCAAAGCTAGGGGTGGTGTATACCACTCAGGTACCCCATCTCCTGCCAGGTAGTACTGGGTGTCTCACAGACCTGCTTTTCTCCCAGCATCCTGTGACTTCGAGCAGGACACTTGTGGCTGGAGCAGCCCCTCAGACCCCCGCTTGCACAGCTTTGCCTGGGGCTGGAAGAGTGGGATCACCCTGGCCAAGTACCCTGGCCCTGAGCAGGATCACACCCTGGGTACAAGGAATGGTAGGAAACACCCATCTCTGCCTGGGCACCCTGGCATGGCCAGAGCGAGGAAGAAGAGCTGGGGGTGGATAGGGTCAGTCCAGTACACTGTGAGGCCTGGTTTCACAGCATCCCTGTCCCCTCTTCACCTGGGAGAGGCAGCACAGCCTCAAGGGCAGTGAGATGCAGGGCTGGTTTGTCCTGTCCTCCAGGCATCATTCTGGCCATTTGGGGGAAGAGTAGGACAAGTGGGGTGAGACAAATGGGTGCAGGACTGGGGGACACCCTGCCCTCTGCCCTGTCTGCTGCCCAGGTCACTACATGCACTTCGACACCAGCGTGTTGGGTGCCAGGGGCACCAGTGCCCTGCTGGAGAGCCCACCCCTGCCTGCAGCCACCGACTCCTGCCTGCGCTTCTGGTACCACATGGACATCCCGGAGCACCTCTGTAAGCACTGCAGGGGCAGTGAGGAGGGGTCCATGGCTCCCTGGGTCTCATGTATGGGAGTGGGGGCCTCATTCTTCCCCACCTGTGGACCACAGATGCTCTGCTTCAATTCTGGCTGGGCAGTGGCAATGGCCCTTTCCCTCTGGGTGCTGCTATCCCAGTAGAGGATGGCATGGCTGGGAGGGCTCAGTGGGCTCGGGGCAGCTCGTAATGCCAGGACACCTGTGCCCCCCCTTGCAGGCAGTGGGGAGTTGCGGGTGACGCTGCAGGGCGCAGCGGGGCAGCGCACGGTGTGGAGCGTGGCGGGGCACCGCAGCCGGGGCTGGCAGGGCGCCGTGGTGCCGGTGCAGAGCCCCACTGAGTTCCAGGTAAGCGGGGCCACCCAGGGGTGCAGGGTGTCTCTGGGCGTGCATCAGCCCCCCAGACCCCACCTTCCCTTGCAGATCAGCTTTGAGATCACCACACGGAGGTGGCCGATGGAGGGGACAGTGGCACTGGATGACATCATGTACAGCACCAGGGTGGGCTGCCATTCCAGTCCAGAGAGTCCAGTGGAAGGTGCGGGAAGGGGGGCGGGGGCGTGTGTGCAGTTCTGGCTGTGAAAGGTCAACGCAGAGCTACCCAGGGTGCTGGGCGGAGGCTGGAGGCAACTCTTTGAGCAGTGGGTCAAGCCTGACAGCATTTCCTCCCCCTGCAGAGAAGCCCTCCGGCAGTTTTGGCAGTTTCGTGGCGGAGGTGGTGCTAGGTGTGCTCCTGGCCCTTGTCATCGTGGCGCTGATGGCTGCTTGGGGCTGGTACTGGCTGAAACAGCGAAGGCTGGCAAGCAGGACACCGATAGAGAGCAACAGTTCCCAGGGCTTCGACAACATCACCTTCCGAGATGTAAGGATAGGGTGAAGGACTTCCCTGATTACCCCAGATGTGCTAAAACAGCATTTTTCTGAAAGCTCAGCAAATGCTAGCAGGCTCTCCCTGACCCTGCATTCTGCCAACGCGACAGGGAGGTGCAAAGGGCTCTGCCTCTTATCTGCTTGTTGACAAACAAGTGACCCTGACCTGTAGGACTGACCTAAAAAGTGCTGCTGCCACCAGGCAGCTGCTCCAGAAAAAGCTGCGTGTGCTCCCACCCCAGAGTCTTGTGGGAAGGGGGTCTGGCAAACCTGGCTTATCCTCACGCAGCCAGCACTCAAGTTAGTGCAAGGTGGCTTAAGCTGCAGGTCCCTTGCACAGATTTGGTGCCATGACATCTGCAGCAGAGCCACCAGCCCCAGCATGGACTCCAGCAACAGACGTGGGCACACTGTGGGTTTGCTGCCTCTGCCTGGGTCACAGATTGTCCTCGCTGCAGCCTAGAAGAAATCCTGGTGTTGCACAGCAGACAGCCCACATTTGTCACCAATTCCCATTCACCTTTCTTTGCAGGACAAGGTCATTATATCTCCAAGGGAGGGGGATCAGTCTTGAAATTAGCAGCCAGCAGCAGGAATTGCCTACTCCCCCCAGGGCAGACCACCCCTCGACAGGAACCCACACTCCATCAGCTGCCTGCTCTCTGCCCCCGGCACGGGGGAAGCTGGCGACCTGGGGAGCCTGCCCTGCCCAGGGACACGCCACTGTCATCGCTACCTCCAGTGTTTCTGTTGTTTGTAACATGAACTTTTTGCTTCCAAAACACAGCAATGTGCCCGTGCTTTGTCAGGGGACATGAGTGGGAATTCTCACAGTGGTTGTCCTCATCCAAAAAGGGCTCTGGCCCCCACAGCTGGAAGAGCAGTGCGTGCTACAGAGAGCATGAGCCACTTCCCATGCCCAGGACACAGCACAAGACCTCCCAGGGCACCAAGACTCCAGGGGCAGGATGCTCAATGCTTCTGCTGGTTTTGGGGAGGGTGAGGGGTGGGAGGGCAGCGAGCAGAGGGGGGCAGCACACAGCACTCCTGAGGGCAGCAGGCAGCTCCCACTCTGGTGTATAGGTGCCCACCTGCTGCCCGCACACCTTGTGAATGCACTTGATAAACGTCACTGCAAAACCCAGCGTAGGCTGAGGTGCAGGCTGGACTCAGGGCCTGGACCCCCACCCTGTACCCAGTGCACCCAAGCCCAGGGCCCCTCCCTCACCCCCAGCTCTCACAACTTAGCACTGTGAACTCCAAACCCAGCCCCACACACAGCCCAGTTAAGTCCCCGCACAACAAGGAGTATCCTGCTACCTCCAGCCCCCATGTCCAGCTGGAGTGACATCCTGCTTTCCCAGACTGTGACCAGAGCCTGTCTCCCTCTCACCCAGCTGTGTCCCCCTTAGGTGATGCCTCAGTCATGCCAAGCATCATCCTCACAGCCCTGTCCTGCTTGCAGAATGAGGGCCCAAGGGAGCTGAGAGCTGGGGAAGGGCAAGGAGGGCTCAGGCGCCACCTGATGTCACTGCAGATCCTCACAGCTTCCTCTCACCTCCACAGCACTGATTCCAGCCCCAGGCTGCTGGCCAAGCTGCACCATCCATGACGCAGGGAGATGTGACACAGCCAGGAAGGCTGTGACAGTGCTGGCCCTCATCCCAGGCACCCCAGGTGTCCGTTAATTACAATCCCAGAGGAAGAGTTGATGCAGCTCGTCACACCCAGCCACAACATTTACTACCAGCTGGTCACATGCAGCAGCTCCCCTGGGCAACTGAAGGGTATCAAACTTTATTATAGATCTCTTTAAAACAGGCTGGAAAGAACAAACCAAACTCATTGAGATACAGTGACTGAGTCATCATTTCTGATCAAGCCCAAACTCTCTCCAAATGATTTATATATATCTCACCCATCCCCCAAATTGTTTCAATTAAATCCTCACATTTCAGACCACCCTAAGTGCCTTAATATCAGCTGCTGCTAACACCACAATGTACACGTTTTCTAGCAAATCAGAGGCAGGGTTTGGGTTTTTTCTTGGGGTTTAGATCATCAATCTCTGAAAAGGAGCAAGGAAAAACAAACATCAGGAAAATTGCTTCTTTAAGGTTGCCTTTTTACAGCAGGTACAGATTCAGCAGATTTCCCCCCAAAGCAAGTCTGAAACCCTCTTGTTCAGCTTGGCAATATGCAGAGTGGTTGAGGAGAACCAGATCAGTCTGAGCAAACTGATTTCGAGGCTTTTTTGTCATTTCCCTTTGGGGCCAGTTTCCAGCGGTTTTCCAATGTCCTTTCCACGCAGTTTGAGCCCTGGAATAAGACAAAGGAGACCATCACCATCAGTACTCAATCATTCACCAGTAACTTTTATTTCCACCAAATCTAGCCTTAAGGAAGAGAACATCCAGAAAGAGAGCAGGGGAACCAGAGTTCAGGAGAATCCTACTTTAGTTTCTAGGAGCACTAGACAAAAACCAATCAAACAAAAACCAATCAGATAGGATCTGAACCAGCCCAGGAGAGTAAAACCAACACTGAATCCTTCTACAAGCGCAATCAGGCTTCCATGGGTCTCAGCATCTCACAGGTTTTGGGGGCAAGCACACAGGGACAGTCCCCAGGGCACAGCTGCAGGCATGAAGGTGCAGACAAAGATCAAGAGCTCCCAGTTCTGGTTCAGTCAGCAGATCCAGGTTTTAACAAAACATGACTTAATGGCACCACACCCACAATAAACTCCAGCCAGCAACGTTCCTCACAGGAAAAAGGTAAATACTTTCCCCCAAAACACCCCTCCAAGCACTGGCAGTATTTCTGAAGTCTCCCTTAACTCACCAATGGCTCTTTCAATCTTGCCCATGACCTGGTTATTGGGGATTGCTCGTCCTGATTCGTAGTCAGCGATAACTTGTGGTTTTTCATTGATTTTCTGAAAAGAGAGGATGAGTCTCAAACACAGCAATGCTCAGCAGCAGCCCCCCAGGACTCACACGGATAAGGAATTATGCCAGGACAGATCACAAAGTGCTGTTCCCAGGCTGACTCCATCCCCACCAGCACCTCCCTGAAGTGTCCCAGTGCTGGTAACATCCATCCTGAAGGGACTTTGACCTCCTTCCTTCTCAGGAGGAATAGGAACACACCAGGATTGCTGTTCCTTCAGACAGCATAGAGTTGCTAACACTGTTCAGCCCAGATGGTACAGACTGGTGTGAGCTACTGGGAGGTGGCAGGAAGCAGCCTCCTACCAGCTGATCAGCCACAAACAGGCTCTGCCTCCAACCTGGGGCTCAAGGGCTGCACAGACAAACCTCGAAACGTTTCCCAGACAACTTAAGTTGCCAGGACATCAGACACCAGAGATGCTGCATTCCTCAAACTTCCAGCCCATGACACCATTCCACTGCAGCTGCCTATGAGGGAACAGGGAAGGTGCCCACCCTCACCTGGATGTGCTCCACTCACCGTGGCCAAGTCCTTCTGTGTGAGGCCCTTGCTCTGTCGGCCCTGCTGGATCACTTTGCCCACCTCCAGGGAAACTCTATCATGGTGCAGCTCCTCTGTTTCACGGTCAAGCTTCGCTGTGTTCTTTGTAATGAAGTGTTGCTTGTTCTGGCCGGCTGCCCCTGTCATTTGAAGCAAGAACGAAAAAATAACCAAGGACAAGCAAAATAAGGTTCAAAGCTGTGCCAAAAAGTCTCAGAGGACTTTTTCCAAGCCATCAGCTGCCCAGGATCACAGGGCGCTGTCAGAATTTCAACATACCAACATCAACATTGATCTCACCCAATTCTCCTGCTCATCAGGGAATATTACCTTAGCTCTCCTCATAGTGCTGTGCACACCTAGCCATGAAGAGCTCTTCCCTTTCCCTACTTCAGACCTGAACTTTCACTCCAGACAGGGCAAGTCTTGATTTTTGCTGGGGATTTAGTGCTCTAACAGCTTTACTGCAGACACATATTTGTGCTGCAGCACAGAGGGGTCAATACTTGAACTTGAATTGTGCTTGCTCAGTATGAGGTACCACAAGTAAGTAGCTTTTAAGCAATTTTATGACATCTTTGATAAGTAAAGTCCAATTTTACTTAGGTTTGCTAAAAGACAGCTTCAAGAGCATTGTTTTCTCTCATGTTATAGTATTTAAGCCCTAGTTTGAATCCTTTCTCTCACATTAGTCTCTGACATTCAGTGTCCCAATAAAGCTGATTAACCTTCTTCAAGGATGATCTCTCTATTTCCAACCATCAGAATAGCCTCCCTACAGCGCGAGAACGGGCAATTTACATCAGAGAAGAAACAAGGAGTTTTTTAAGAGCCATAGGAAGATCGGCAGCCATTCAAATTCGCAAAAGAAATACGGTGCCAAAACAGAGAGGTTAAGTCTTGCGATCACAAAAGCTCTCCCAAGATCTCTGCAGAAGCCGGGCAGATCTCTGCCCCGGGCACCCAGAAGCTGAGGGGCAGCCCCAGGGGCGCCATCGTTACGGCCCAGTTCGGGATCACTGCCTCAGCCGGGCGGTGCCGCCTCCTGCCTCCTCTCTCCATCCCGGGCAGCCGCCCCAAACCGGACCGGACCCCCGCGGGATACCCACACTTCTTGGAAGTTTCCACGTCCTCCCCGCGCCGCTGGGCCGCCAAGATCGCCTGGGGAAAAAGCGAAGGCGCGCGGTGAGCACGGGGCTACTCGGAGCGGCGGCCTCGACCACGCCGAGCCCAGGCCCGCCGCCCGCACCCGGCCCCGCAGCGCTCCCCACGCTGACCTGCTTGGACTTGGCCTGGGCCGCGCTCGGGCCCTTCTTGCGCAGCACCGTGACCGTGTCCCAGTCGCTCTCCGCCATCGCTCCGACCCCTCCCGGGCCGCGCCCGCCGCCGGGCACCGCCCTCTGCCCGCCTCCGGGGGCGCGGCCGCGCGGCGCCCGCTGATAGGGCGAGATGCACGTCCATCAGCAGAGACAGTCGCTCATAGGTGGAGACAGGAGCGAGCGCAGCGGGCGGGGCTTAGGTTTCTGCATGGACTGTTGGCTTAACTGCACCCAGGAGTGACGCAGCTCCGTTTGATAGGCGCAGCTCCCTGCCAATCAGCCTTCTTTCTCGCTATGTGATTGGCTGGTGCCCACGCCAACCTGGGGGCAAAAGCACGTACCTGTACACACTTCGATTGGCTGTGGACCCTGCCAGTCACCCGTCGCCCGGCAGGGATTGGTTTGTTCTGCGGCGCTGTCAGACCCGAGGCGCGCATGCGCCGTGCGGCGGTTGGCCGTGCCGGTTGGCTCCGGCCGCGGGCACCGGGCGCGGCCCAGGCAGGGCCGGGCGGGGATGGCAGCGGGGCCTTGTGCCGCGGGGAGCCCGGCAGAGCGTCCGCAGCACGGACACGGGCATGGGCACAGTCCGGAGGGGGCGAGGAGAGGCGGCTGAAGGCACGGGGTTGGTTGAGCCTAGAGAAGGCGATACAGAGGTCAAACCGCGCTGGGGCTGCAGTTCCTCCTGCGGGGCAGCTCTGATCCCTGCTGGCTGTGAAAGGTCCAGGAGCCAGGGAGTGGCTGGAGCTGGGCCAGGGCAGCTCAGGCTGGAGATCAGGGAAAGGTTCTTCCCCAGAGGTGCTGGCACTGCCCAGGCTGCCCAGGGAATGGGCACGGCCCCGAGGCTGCCAGAGCTCCAGGAGCCTTTGGCCAGCGCTGCCAGGGATGGTCAGGGTGGGGTTGGTGGGGGTCTGGGCAGGGACCGGGGCTGGGCTGAGTGATCCTGGTGGTCCCTCCCAGCTTGGGATAGTGTGTGATTCAATGAAAATCCCTGACCTATATCGGAATCACCCAGAAACTTTTGCAGTCACAGTAAAGGCATGAAAAGCTGCTCCTGCTCTCGTCATTTCTGAAGCGAAAGGACAGCGTTACACGCCCCGGGTGGATTTTTATGGGGTCTTCCCATGACAAAGCGCATGACGAGTGGTCAGATTCTAGTCACGGTGGTGATCCAGGGCATTGCTTGGAAGTCAGGTGCCGGGATGGCCCCGGGGTTTTGCATTTCTCATCTGTCACTGCGCCATGCCTGGCCCCCACTCCAGAGAACAGGAGAAAGCAGCTCCTGAGGTGGGACATTAGCAGGGTGCAAGACCTTCTCCTTGGACCGGTGCGGTCGAGCCGGCGTGCCGCAACAGCAGGACTGGGAGTCCCGTCCTATGGCGGGTATTCCAAGCAAGCCTTTGGTGCAGGTTTCCTGTCTCTTTGGGAACAGCATGTCCTGCTGCCAGGTCACGGTCACTTCAGGAAATGCAGACAGGATTTTTCTTTGATGGATGACATCACCAAGTTTTCCATGCCAGTGTTCCAGAGCAGTGTGGCTGTGCCGGGAAAAGGGCTGATGCAGTGCCGTTGGTGAAGCGGTGCCCATCCTCGGAAGCTGTGCACGTGCCATTCCCGGTGCCGACACACGCAGGGATGCGCTGTCCCCGGCTCCCTGACAGGGAGCATCCCGCCCTGACGGTGCCTGAGCAGCACCTGGCCCCTCGCCAAGGGCTCGCTGTCCCTGAGCCCCCCGCGCCCTTCACTTCGACCCTCTCCTCTCCGGCCCCGTCTTCGCAGCCAGGCTCCCGGGAGAGTCACTTTGGCCGCTCGGTCACTGCGCCGGGCTCTGACGGCGAGGATTTCCCCGGCCCAGGGTGAATTCCCCGCAGTGAGAGCCCGCCCATCCCCGCCCCGCCGGCGCAGCAGGCGGTAAAACCCCGGAGCCCCCGCGCCGGAGCCCGGCCAGGGGGGCAGGCAGGCTGGGGACCCCGGGTGACAAATCCTGCTGCTGTGACCTTTTGCCGAACAAGTTCCTCTGCGAAAAGCACCTCGCCGTGACCTCAGTGCGGGCTGCGCCGCGCGTTTCCCCACACTGCATTTTCCTGCCGTCGCCGTCCCGCCGTCTCCGTCCTGCCGCCGCCCATCCTGCCCGGCCGCTGGCCTCCCCCTGCCCCCGAGCCGGCGCCACGGGACGCGAGGTGGCCATGACACTCTGTGCGCAGGTAGGCGAGGGCCCACTGGTACTCAAATGGCCAAAAGGGACTTTAAAACAATTCCTCAGGGTGCCAGGGCTGGCTCCGGGCCATTTCCAAGGGACCAGCAGCTGCTGACCTGGGAGTGCAGCGGGAGATGGCTGTCCTCGATGCGACCCCGGGTGGGTCAGGTGGCCCCAGCTTGAGCACCACAGTCCGTCTTTTTTGCCCTCCAGCAAATGCAGGGGATGCGTGAGGGGGGGGCCCAGGGGATGGATGAGAAGCCCCTGGGACGGACGAGGGCACCCAGGAAGTCCTAGGACGTGGATGAGGTGGGCTCAGAGGAGGGATGAGGGAACCCAGGGGGTAGATGCCAGGGGTGGATGAGTGGTGCTGAGGGAGTGTGAGGGGCGTCCCGGGAATCTGGGTTCATTCCTAGCAGGGTCGCCTGAGGCAGGGTTATGGCAGGGGGCAGTGAGGGGGAGGTCAGCGAGGAGTGGTGCTGGGGAAGAAGTGACAGAGGACGGGGTAAGGGAGTGACTGAGGAGCTGAGGGGAGAGGACGGAGGGGGTGACAGTGGGGTGGCAGGGAGCATAACTGGGTGTGACGGAGGGGTGATGGGGGTGGTGATGGGATTGATGTGGGAGTGTTGGGGGTGCAGATGTAAGTGACAGTGGGGTGGCTGTCGGAGTCAGGGTGTTGGGGATGCAGGGGTAGGTGTTGTTGGGTGGTCGAGGGTGTCGGTGTGGGGCTATTGGGAGTACAAGGGTGAGTGATGGTGTGGGGAGTGTCGGGGGCCGGCCGCGCCCGTGGGCGGGGCCGCGCCCGTGAGCGGGGCCGCACCCGTGGGCGGGGCCGCGCCCGTGGGCGGGGCCGTGGGCGGGGCCGCACCCGTGGGCGGGGCCGCACCCGTGGGCGGGGCCGCACCCGTGGGCGGGGCCGCAGCCGTGGGCGGGGCCGCACCCGTGGGCGGGGCCGCGCCCGTGGGCGGGGCCGCACCCGTGGGCGGGGCCGTGCCCGTGGGCGGGCCGTGCCCGTGGGCGGGGCCGCGCCCGGGCTCGCCACACGTGTCCGGGGGCGGGGCCTGGCGGGGCTTCCGGTGCGGGCGCAGCGAGGGCCGGTGAGTGCGGGGCCCTCAGGGAGCGGCAGGGTCGGGCCTCGCTCCGCTGCGAGCCCGGCCCGGCCCGGCCCGGCCCGGCAGGGAGCCCTCTTGCCAGCCAGGAGCCCGGGCCGCACGGGGGCAGCTCTGGCTCTTCTCTGGTTCGCGGTGTCTCTGCTTGTAGGGGCTCCTCCCGGGTACAGGCTCGAGGCGTTCAGCGTGGAGAAGAGAAAGCTCTGAGGCGAAGTCAGAGCCCTTTCCAGGGCCTAAAGGGGCTCCAGGAGAGCTGGAGAGGGACGGGGGACAAAGACATGGAATGGCAGGACGAGGGGGAGCAGCTTCCCGGTGCCATAGAGCAGGGCTGGATGTGATATTGGGAGTTGGGAATTGTTCCCTGTGAGGGTGGGCAGACCCTGGCACAGGGTGCCCAGAGGAGCTGTGGCTGCCCCTGGATCCTTGGCACTGTTCAGGGCCAGGTTGGATGGGGCTGGGAGCAGCCTGGGATAGTGGAAGGTGTCCCTGCTCAGGGCAGGGGGTGGAATGAGATTGGCTTTAAGTCCCTTCCAGCCCAAACCACGGGACTCCACGGATGTGCTGCTTAGGTTCTTTAGGTGGCTGTAGCATGTAGTCACAGGGAATGAAGGTATGAGATGCATAAGCAGCTAAAACTAAAGCATTTCATTCTTTGCCTTCTTTCCAATTTGTTTGTGCCTCTTGTGTCCTCATTTTCCATCCCTCTGGAGGACCCTTTGTGCCTGATTGGGCACCACCACGAAATCTGGGCTCCCCTGTGTGGCCAGCTTTCCCCCAGGAACATCTGGGACCAGCTGCCTCTGGGCAGAATTTTGGTCCCTCCTGATAGCTGACAAGTGTGAAAGCAGGTATTGGTAGGCTGTGGTGGCCAACAGGTTTTTGGTGAATTGAATTTATTATATTTATTTCTTATCACCTTTAAGACAGTTTTTTACCTTATTTAGATCAAGAAGACTTGATATCTCTAAACAGGCTGCATTTCAGTCAACTCAGACAGGGGGTTTAATAGGTCTGTCCTTCCTGTCTCTGTGTTCTGGATTTAGTTCTAAAATTCAAGTTTCCTCCCATATTTGGGAGGTGAAGGCAGGCTTATGATGTGGTTTACATGAGTATGTTTACTTGTGTTGGGGGACAGTCTAATAATCTGTGAGTAACACTGTTTATATGACAAATCACTCCCATGCAATTATAATCAGAAGGAGAAAATACTTTTATTTTCAGTCTCTGGAGACACAGGCAGAAGTTTTCATTCACATGGCAGCAGCAAACTCTTCTCCACCTGGTTCTCTGGATCTAAACCAGCCTGGGTTTGCAAAGGAGATCTTGGGAACTAAACTGGAGGTCAAATACTTGTGCTCTGATTGCAAGAACATCCTCAGGCGGCCGTTCCAGGCACAGTGTGGCCATCGCTACTGCTCCTACTGCCTGAAGAAAATCATCAGGTAACTGCTGTGCCTCGAGTGGGAAGGCAAAATACTTGAAAAAGCATTTTCAAGAACAAAAGCAGAGAGAAGTGTTGTTTTCAGGACCTTCTCAGTAAGGGAGCTGTGTCCAATCATTGAGGTTCAGTATCATCTCTTCTCTAAGGGAATGTGAAATCTCTGACTTGCCTTTGTTGATGCTTCAAAGTTTTTTTTTCCAGAATCCCCTGCACTGTTTTTGCCATTGAGGAGGCAGTCCAGGTCTATCACCCATTTCCTTCATCACAATCATAAAGTCATCATTTCATTGTTGTGTCAAAATGGGAGAGATTTAAGCATGAGCTGGCTTCCAGAGAAGTCTTCTTGTGTTCTATCTTCCTCCTACCTTTGTGTGAGGAAAGCCTAATAGAATGTTTAATTGGCAGAAGAAAAAAATTAGAAATAGGCATCAACAATACACACAAGCAAAGGCTCAATGTGTTGCTTTTAAAATAAGAAAACACTGTCATTTCATAAAGTTACCAGAAATCAATTTATTGTTAAATCATAATTTTTTTGTTGTTATTGTGTTTGATTATTATTTTTCTATCTGATAGTGCGGGACCTCAAAAGTGTGCCAGCTGTATCCAGGAAGGAATATATGAAGAAGGAATTTCTATTTTGGAAACAAGCTCGGTAAGGAAAAATGCATTGAAAGAAACCTAACAGATCAGTGGTGTCAGTAATACCAGTTACAGTTTTTGCTTAAAACACAAGCTTTGAGAACTTCTTATTCCTAGGAACCCTTTTCTTCAGCAGTGAGAAGGGTGATTACTGTGTTGGACTCCTCGGTGGTGAAATCCAGGTCACGCTTGTGTAGTGGTGCCCTATTTAAAGCTGTCACAGCCATTTGGTTGCTGTTAACACATCTCTGGGGGTTGATGGGGCAACTGGTCTGGGAGGAGTTTTCAGGAAGAATTCAAAGTCCTGATGAAAACTGCAACCCCTCAGTAATATTTGTGGCTTGCTTGTTTTTTCCATTTCAGGCTTTCCCAGACAACGCGGCGCGGCGGGAAGTGGAGAGTCTGCCTGCTGTCTGCATCAACAGTGGCTGCACCTGGAAGGGAACCATCAAAGAGTACGAGGTACAGGCCAAAGCAAGGCTTGGCACATCTGCATCCTTCTTCCCTCTGTGTTTGGGGAAGGCTCAGCGTGTTGTCTGTGCTCACTGACAGTGGGGGAAAGTTGTCAAATCCCTGAACTTTACTGTCAGCTGGAGAGGTTTCCTGAGGGAGGGCTTGTGTGCCCTGCTGAGGGCACAGGCTGGACTGAATCAGTTCAGATTTGCTTGTGAGCACGTTCCTTCCATGATGGGAACACCTGCTCTCTTTGCAGCTCTTCTCTGCTATACAAGACTGTCAAGAAATTACTGTGCCATTAAATGGTTGTGAATTTCTCTGCATTATGTGAACCTAAAACTCTTCAGACTCCATCAGCTCACAGAAAGTGACCTGATTCCATTTTCAGCTGTCTCCAGAGTTACCAGGGCAGTGGGACTGGATAGTGGGTACTGTCTGGTCACCCATCACCCCAAGCTGTTCTGGGACACAAGGCTGCTGGACAGGATGGTTTTTTCACCTCATTTCTCCTCGAGGAGCCCACTAGCTTTTTAATCTTAGCTTTTTAGTTGTGGCTGGGGGTGCTTGGTCTGTAGCATGTGACTGTATGTGAAGCTTTTGGCTTCTGAAAAACAATTTTGTCATCCCTCTTGTAATGGCAGAACCACGACATGGGAGGTATGAGATAAGAGGAATACATTTTATTTCCCTCTAACACTCACTCCAGACTAAGATCTGTGAGCCTGGTGGTTCGCAGAGCTTTGGCAGTAACTGAGATGTGTTTCAGGAGCAGGTTTAACCTTGGTCTGTCCAGGCTGACATTGGGATTCTCTTGATGATGCCATTGCAAAGTGGAAGGAAGAAGCAGCAGCTGTGCATCAGGCCTGAGTGTTTTGCCCAGACTGTGCCTCTGGCTGTTAGCAGAGAGATGCTTCTGCTTCCTTGTGCTGCTGTCTGAGCCTTCTGCTATGCGCTCAAAGTTCAGTCCAAGAGATGAGGATGTTGGTGCTAAATGGTTCTGTAGCTGTGAACCCCCATTTGTACATCTGTGAGAGGCTCGTGGTGTGGATGTGGGACTGAAGAAGTGTCAGGTGAAAAGCTTAACACTGCCGCAACAGAGTTTGGGGATTGCATTTCAAGGAACAGGGTACCCTGGTACTGGGGTTTCAGGTTCAGGCTGTGCTGGTGGTGTCTGCAGATTGTTTGCTTCATCCTTTAATTTCTATTGGTGCCCAGAAGTCCAGTGCCTTCTGCAATGATTATAGTGAGCTCATCTTCATTAGATTAAACCAAATTATCTGTCAGCATCTTCAGTGCTGATTGTGCTGTGGCTGACAAGCCATGCTGAACTTTTTCTTCTGGTTTTAAAAAAAGTCTTAATGTGTTCTTGCAGAGCTCAGCAAAAATCTTCCACTGCCAATGGTTCTTCCTATGTATTGTGACAAATGGTAGAGTGTTTGAGTCTGGCCAGAGCTCCCACTGGGAGTTGAGAAGTGCAGCGAGCTGTCCTGGGATCAGGGCTGCAGGAGCATCTGATGTCCCAGAACCTTGCACACAGCTGATGAAGAGCTCCTATATGGATGAGGCTGTGCCTTGTTTTCACTCTCCGCTGTGCTTCCCAACCAGCATTTGCTGGGACAAAGGATGATTGATAGAGGTGTGGCCCTGGAGTGCATGGGCTGTGAGTCTGTTGTATCTGTGACATCTTCCCTGCCAGGGGTTTTTATGAGTCTTGGGGAGTCCTGCGTGGTACAGGGGGTGTGGGGGTTTGAAGCAGTGCTGGCTGTTTCCTCTCAGGGGTTGAGTCAACTCTCCTGCCTGCTGTGGTGGCATTCAGCCTAAGGAAGTAGGTTATTTTGTACCCTCTCAGAAAAAGCTGTCTCTTTCCTAGGAACTGGTGGGAGGAGGCAAGGTCTGGCTTGTGTTATCTCCTCCCATATACCTGCCAAACAGCTGTGGCATTTAATCAGGACTGGCTGTCCCCATGCTGCCAGAGCCATGTGTGTTGCTGAAGAGGGCGGGGAAAGGAGGTGTTGGATGGCTGTGTTAGCCCAGAGCCTCATGGTACCTTGGGCTAAGGTTAAACCCAGCCTTCAGGGCCACAGTGCAGAGCTGCCTGGTGCAGAAGAGCTGCATCCGTAGCTGCACTGTGGGTAACGTCCTGCAGCAGCTCAGAACTCCCACTTTGGAAAGTACCTCAGAGCTATTTCTGACAGGACATGGAAAGTCCCTCAGAGTGAATTCACTGTTTGCTAATTTTAAAATTGTGTGTTGTGCTGAGAGAGGCTGCTCTCCCCTTGCAAATGAAGAGATAGTGTCACTTCTGGTTTGTTAATCTTATCAAGCTACGCACCGGGGAAAAATGTTCTGCAGCTGAAAAGTTTAAGCCTCAGGAAAAGGAGTAAAATACATTTTAGTTTTGCTTTCTGTTCAGGTGAACTAAGGTTTGCCTCTCAAAGGGAAACACAAAACTGAATGAGTGCAGTCTGCTTGGACATGACTTGCACTCTGCTTCAAGCTGTGTGGACCATAGGAAATATTTAAGTCTGGATTTATGGCTGAATTTTTTAGAGTCTGTAAATATTTTGTGGCATTTGGATAAAGTAGTTTGTGGAGGGGCTGAAGGATTTTTCCTTTTATTAGTGATCTTGTTTCCTGATGAGTCTGTTTGCATGTACATTTTGAAAATCAGGCTGTGGGCATGAGCCTTTAGATTTCAGAGCAAAGTCTGAGAAGGGCTGCAGAAACTAAACCAAGCCCGTTAAAGCAAAAGGAAAAACCTCAAAAACGGTCCCAGTGATATCCAGGAGAGGGAGTTTGTGGTTCCTCAGTTCTGGTGTGTTTTTTCTCCCACCTTACAGTACCTCTAGCTGCCCACGTCCCTCTCCTGTTTATTAACATGTTGTCAGTTTTCATACATCTTTTATTTATGCTTTTCATCCCACCAGTTCCCTTCCTGTGTCCTCCCCCCAGGACTGGGGTGGGAGGAGGGGGCTGAAGAGGGGTACACTCGGGGTCAGCTTTGGCATGCCCCTTGGTTCCCCCAGACAGGGGATTTAACTCAGCCCTCTTCAGCTGGAATCAGAGTTAACTGAGACATAAAGACATAAAATTGTCCAATTTTAGGAAGGAGAACTAAGTTTTAAGCTTAAACATGACATCAGTGTTTAAACTAAGTTTTGTGGGGCTCAGATCAGCTCAGTTCCTGAGGCTGAGCAACAGTTAGGTGTGGGAACAAGCTGGTTTAATCCATGCTGGAGGTAATGTGCTTTCCTTGAGTTTGTTGTCACTTTGGTTTTAGAGAGTTCTTTGTAAGTGAAACCTGGAAAGCTGCAGAAAGCGCAAAACGCCGAACCCAAGTGATGTTGCTCAAAAGCCTGTGGTGACAGACAGGCTGTCTGCAGCCCCTTCTGGGCTATGTGGCTTCCTGGCACCAGAAGAGCAGGATTAGCAGGCATTCCTTTCTGCCCACTGTTCATACTTAGGAGATGCTGTAGAGCCCCTATCGCACCTTATCTAGGGAGAACTCCCTGTTCAAAAGTGCTGCTGGGGGCCCTGAGCCAGGGGTGTGCACCATGTCATGCCTCTCCTTCCCAGCTGCAACCTGCGAGTGCCCCAACAGGTTTTGGCAGTAATTTTCAGCTGAGGCTGAAACTTCATCTTCAGGATTTTGCACGTTGCTTAGAGAAGAGCTGTTGGTCTTTGAAGTTCATTCACCTGTCTCCTGCTCCACAAAGTTGTTCCTCTGAGTGTTGTATCATTGTTGTCTGTGTGGGGTACAACGCTTGAGGTGCTGTGGCAGGAACATTTGGTGCTGCTGTAGTAGGGTGACTAGCCTTCTCTTTAAAACCCAGTACAGCATTTATTAGCTTCTTCTGAAGGTTTTGGCTTGGAATTCTAGGCTGGTGATGAAGTACAGTTTGCAGCCAGCTCCAGCAGGACCAGACTACTTGCTGGTGAGAGAATCCCTGACTTTCACATGGAGGTGACCAAAAGGACCTTCTGCTTTTGGAAAAGGGATCAGACACACCTGTACTTTCCAGAGCCGGAGCTGAGATCCAAAAACACATCCCAGCCGCAGTAGCTGGTGTAATTGGCTGCCCAGACATGAGGCGATTTCCCGTACAAACCTGTGGTGGGAGGTAAAGCCACGGGGAGTGCCAGAGAGCATGCGTGGGAGTGGATTGGAAAGCCCCGGCTGCAGTGGGTCTGCTCTTCACTTCTGAAACCAGCTCAACCTTCTTGTGGTGGCCCAAAAATTAATAGTTGTGACATCTTCTCCTTGGGGAATGAAATGTCTGAAGTGGCGGTGAGTGCTTAAGTGTGGTTCATATAGTTCTACACTGTGAGGAAACCCCTCAATATGAATGCAGCTGGGGGAATTGTGGAGGGATTTGGAAAAAGCATCCTGGAGCATACCACCACTTCAAGCTTGTTCATAATTGAAAGCAACCAGGAGTGGCAGAACCTGTTTTAAAAAATGGCAGAAAACCTGCTGCTGCTTCAAATGCATTTTGAACTTTCCTCTGCCCTAAGAAATCACTCTTTCCTTCACAGTTGTCTTCAATACCTGAAACACTGCCTTGGTGTCCCTCTGCCAGCAATCCCCAAATCAAACCTCTGTCTGATCAGCCCTAATAGCTGATTGAAGCTAAGGACTTCTTATAATATGAGGGGAGCTGGACTGGACAAAGCGCAGATCAAGCCAATATGGTTAAAGCTACATTCTCTGTTTATTGTTTAAAAGATAGTAGTTTATATACACTTTAGTATAGTTTACAAGTTGTGAACATGCTATCATTGGTCAGTAAACATTGTTTACCTTTGCCTTAAGGTGGTCAGGCTTTTCACACTGCAGCTAATTCACACTCAGAAAGCTCATTACTTAGTGGTTACCTTAACATAATTTATAACTGAGCCACAACTAGTTTCTTACTACGCAAAAGGCTTCCAGGCCCCAGCAAGGCCGCTTATTTGAGGCCTAGTGGGAGGGTAGGTCAATCCTTTACTCTAAATATAAATAATGTCCTGTCTCTCTCAAAAATCTTACAACAGCTGATGAACAAAACTTCAGCACGGCAAACGAGTTCCTGCCCTGGATCTGAATAGAGGCAGGAGCCAGGCCTACAGGAGCCCCCACAGGGCTTCTGCTGCCTTTTGTTGTCACTCAGTGGGCACCAGGGCAGTGAGGGTGTGTTGGGGTTCCCATGCCCTCACTGCCTGCCCAGCTGGAGCCAACAGTACCTAGTGATGCAAACTTCATCTTTGGTTTTGACAGTTTCTTCAAAGTGATGCCAAATGAACTTGCTTGGATCTGTCAACAGCATGTTCCAGCAAGGGAGAGGTTTGTGTCTGACACAAGCCTGTGTGATGGTCTCAGAAAGCTCCCGTTCCCGTTTGGCACTGGGAATTAGACTGGGTTCCTGCTTTCCAGCCTGGTGTTGCTGGGCTCCATGCAGAAGCAAAAGGACTGGGTGTGTGGTCACTCTGTAGCCTGACTCACCTGTATGGGGAAAGGTTCGAGCAAGCTTGGCACAGAACCAACTTAGGACTTCCCTGGCAGGAGGAGCTGTAGCACAGAAGGGCATGGGGACTTCAGAGGAGCAGGGCATCCCAAAGCATCTGCCTTGTGTGGCACATTCCCATCTTTGCAGGCTCTGGAGCCCCTAGGAAACTGACAGAGGTGCATAAAGCAACCAGTGCTCCTTAGCACAAAGGATTCAGGTTCCCTCAAAACTCTCTCTTTTATACTGGAGACCCATTTTCAGTGTTTTCTTGACAATTCCATGGGCCCACCCTTGTACCCAGGCTACTGTATTCAAGAAGCCAAGTGCTGCACATGGCAGTGCTGGGGCTGGAGACCACCCAATCCCTCATAGCAACCTCTGTGCCCTGTGTCATGGCAGCTGGCTTTCCTTTGCCATTCTGGCAGTTTTGCTTCCTTGTTGTTGCTCCTTTCCAGCTGTCAAGCCCCTGAGCTGTCTGCTTATGGTTAATGTTGCTATGATCAGAGGAGATTAATTGAGTGACTTTCCAAGACCAGGGCATTTTGCAGGAGAGCTGCAGTGTTCAGCTCACTCTGAGCCTGTCCTTTGTCCTTGTCCCTCTGCCAGCCCTGCCCTTTGCTGTGACTTTCCCACAGACTCTGGCAGAGGCATCTCATAGCAGCTGCTTCAACAGTGGTATTTCCCAGCTGATTGCCTTGTCCTTTCGCTGGAGGGGGAGCCCAGTGTCATGCTGATGGATTCCTAGCATGGTTACAAGAACTCCAAAAAAAAACTGAACCTGTGTGGATGTGGCAGGTTATGAGCAGAGCAGCCAGGCAGCAGGGGCATGTCCTGCTCTGCCACCAGAGTATGGAGATAATGATTTCCAGCAGAAGCTTCTTTCAGAGTTGAAATTTAATTTGGTGATGCCCTGAGGTGATGGTGATCAGATTAAACTGCAGGTTTTCGTATTGGCTGAAGGAGAAGTAGGGAAGCAGCTCATCCTGGCATTGCATAGAACCAGAGAAGTGGAAGTGATTGACAAGGATCATGCGGTCCAATTCTTGGCCCTGCACAGGACACCAACACAGACACCCCAACAGTCCCACCCTGGGCACCCCTGGCAGTGCTGTCCAAGCCCTCTTGGAGCTCTAGCAGCCTCGGGCTGTGCCCATTCCCTGGGGAGCCTGTTCAGTGCCTGAGCACTGGGGGAAGAATCTTTTTGTAATATCCATTCTAACCCCATCCTGACACAACTCCAGCCATTCTCTTGAGTCTTGTCACTGGCACACAGAGCAGAGATCAGAGCTGCCCCTCATCAGGAAGCTTCAGAGCACAGTGAGATGTGCCCTCATCCTCCTTAAGAATGATCACAGTGTGCTCCAGGAATCAGCTGCCCTTACTAAAACCCACTTTTCCCTCTATATGCCTGCACTCCCCTGTACAGCTGCTGCACAAAGTGCTGCCCTTGCTGTCCGGGTTGAAACGGCCTCATCCTGCTGCTGGAGTATCAGAGAGAAAATTCATCTGCAAATTTAAATGATATACAGCTTTTCTGCTTTCCTGATACTGAGGTGGGAGATTCTCAGTACACATGGGCAGCTCCATTTGCTAGTGAGCCTGCAGGGAGGAGAGCTCAGCACCTTTGAGCAGCCTGGGGAAGAGAAGGCTCTGAGGATACCTCAGCCTGTAAGTGCTTAAAGGGGGCTTGTAAAAAGATATTGAGACTTTTAACGAGGACAGAGAGTGACAGGAAAAAAGGCAGCTATTTTAAACTAAAAGAGGGGAGATATAGATTAGTTGTTAAAAGGAAATTCTTCCCTGTGAGGGTGGTGAGGCCCTGGCACAGGTTGCCCAGAGGAGCTGTGGCTGCCCCATCCCTGGAAGTGTCTAAGGCCAGGTTGGATGGGGCTTGGAATGACCTGGGATGGTGAAAGGTGTCCCTGCCCACAGTAACAGGGTGGAATGAAATGGGCTTTAAGGTCCCTTCCAACCCAAACCATTCCATTATTCTGTGATTCTGATTTCCCTCACACACAGTCCCTGACTGATCCTCTTGGTTGCCCTGGTCCTTCCGTGGGCAGTGGTGTCCGATTTTCTAACCTTTCTGGTGAGCTCTCAGAGAATGACCTGTCTGATGGTGGCAGGTGATGAGCAGGCTGCCGTGGGCTTGTGTCACTGTTTATTATTAGGGAAGGAAATTGATGTGTGTCTCAATCAGCAGCTTTGGTTGTAATTCAGTGGGAAGAACCAGGTATTGCTGAAGGCTGTTAACTCTGCCCCATTTGATTTTCCTGCTCCTACTGTTGGATGCTGCAGGCTGGCGTGTGCCTTGTTGGGTGAGCCTTTGTCTTCCAGCTCCATTTAAATTCTTCCATGGCTGTCCCCTCTCTCCTATGTCTGTCCAGCTTGATTTCCACTCTGGTTCCCTCTGGGAGAGTCTCTTGCTTAGTTCCACTCACAGCCATGGATGGCTTTCTAGAGCTCCCAAAAACTTCCCAAGCAAGTGCCTGGGTGTGAGTGGTGCTTATCCCTGTAGCAGAAGCTACAGCTGTGGGTATGGGAAAGATGTAAGCAGGAGTATTGCCCCATTGCTGGGGGAGTGGAGTGTGGCAGGTCAGGCTTGAGTGCCAACCCCTGCTTTTGGCTCCAGAGTGGGTTGAATTTCTTCCAGGAGTGATATCATCCATCTCTGTTCTGACACCCACGTGGGGCAGGAGGAGCAGGGGTTTCCAGAAGAGCCTGAAACTGTTTATACAGAAATGTTTGGATCTGCATTGGCTGAAGCTTCTGGGTGTCTTTAACTATTTACATGCAGAACAGTTGCTCTTTGAGCTCAGCTGGGCTGGTTTCCTTCCTGTGCTACAGGCGGGGCTGCCCACTCTTGTGCATTACATCATGGTGCCGAGGGGAATCAGGATGGAGGATGAATGCTGGGAGGTGGGGAGTGTGGAGGAGGTGGTAGTTTCACATCTACATGTTGGCATGGGAGACCACAAGTTTAAAATACTCCCTTTTAAAATAGTTGCCTCTGCAGCAAAGTTTCCTTTTTTCAGCTGGACTGTCTATTCTGCCAGTGCTTTGTGGGTCATGGGGTAGATATTGTTAGGTGTTTCTAGAACATGAGAGCAGTGGGTGGGTAGAAAACAGGGCTCAGTCCCTCTGAGTGAGTGGGATAAAGGCAGACATTTGGCCTCCTTCTCCTCCTCTGCAGGCAGCAACATCCCTGTGGGCAGCAGCATTTATGCGGGAGCAGTGCCCATGAAGGCAGCAGTGCCCTCCAAAACCCTGCTGGCTGGCCAGTCATCTCTCCAAGGACACCCAGTGAAGCTCTGAGCTTAAGTTACTCACTGAAAGCATAAAAAGGAGAGAGTGACCAAGAAGCCGGGGTGGAATTACTGCTGGTTTCACTTTCCACTTCCTGGTGTGTGACATGGTGGGCTTTGTGCGTGTTCCTCTAGAAGGCAACAGAGATTCATTGTGACCAGGTTTTCAAACATATGGGTTCAGATGGCTGCATTAGAAATGCTCCTGGTTGGATTTTTTTTCTGTCCCTACCATGGCAGGAGACTTCAGTGCTCTTATATTTTAATTTTAGTTTTGATCTGCATATTCATGGTGTTTCCAATGCCTTGTTTCAACTGGTGGGTGTATAACAAGAAGGTTTAAGGAGTGTGGAAATGGCACAGAAGCAGTGGCGTGTTCCAGCAATCCATTTAGCCAGAACTGTTGCCAAAGAGTCTACTGAGGACAGAAGATCACGTTTCCCTGGTCATTTGTTCAACCCCTCTGGCTATCATCCAACTCTGAGTCTGGCTGCAGAGGCAATTGCTTGTATGCAGGGACTGGTAAATGTAACAGTTTAAAAATATTTTTCTTTCTGGTTGAAAAATGGTATTCTAATTCAAATGTGAAGATACAATCAGACAGCTCAGCCCAGCATGTGATGAGCTGTCACAGAGCCTATGCCTCAGCTGACTGATAAACATTACAGTGGAAAAACTACCCAAATTATCCTGCTGAGGTAGTGGCTGACTCCACTCAACCTGTATCAAAGTGTCTTCCCCTGGCAGAGCCATAAATGGAGTTTCCCATTTATTATCTTGGCCATCAAAGCGATAATTTGATTTTTTTAAAAATCATTGTAGCATATTTTAAATAGAGGTTGAGGCTACGTAGGCACTGAAAATTGAGGTAGCCTGGAGGTGACACAATGAGTCAGCAGCTCAGAGGGATCAGCGTGACTAAGGTCTGAGTGTAGGTTGGTAAATCCAGTGTTCAGCTGTAATAAGGTATAAACCCACCCTTGTGGGATTGTGCCCATCACAGAATCTCCATGGGCCTTTCATCTGGGGACAAATATCTCCTGTATGTTCCTTCACAGGCTCATAATGAAGTCTGCCCTGAATTCCCGCTGACTTGTGAAGGCTGTGGGAAGAAGATTCCCAGGGAGAAGGTATCCATGCAACCCTGTGCCATGGGGGTATTTGGTGTCCTGATGGGCTCAGCTTGGCATCCTGGCAGCAGGGAGGAGCAGAGTTCATTAGGAAATGAAATGGGGAAAACAACTGAGTGGCAGCTGTTAATGTGAATGTGAGTTTTCCATAAGGATGGATGTGACTTAATTATGGCTCAGGGGCACTCGCAGGTCAGTGTTGGTGGTGCTGCTGCTGCTGCCTCCCATGGAACTGTGCATGGGGGTAGAGCACACTCACGAGTTTATGTTCTGTGTAGAGCAACTGCATCAACTACTGCTGCAATTTTTGAAAGAGAGCCCATTTCCAGCTACATTAATTGTTATCTAAGTAATAATCTAATGGAATCCACGCCTGTAGCATTTCCAGGCTGCTGGCTCCTGGGGCTCAAAAGCCTGAAAAATTCAAGTTTTGGGAGACATTTTCAAAAATCACATTCATCTGAAACCATCTTGCCTTCTACAGGTGAATATTTTTAGTAGCAGTGTTGGAAAAAGCCCTTCAGCAGGGCAGGGGAACAGAGGCAGCAAAAAGAGGAGCAATAGTGTTCTTCCAAATGGGCAGCATAAGGAGGGGCTAGGGGTGGGGGTGCAGCCCACCTTTTCTGCAGGCTGGGGTCTGGCTTATCTGCAGGTGGGAGCTGAAGCCCTGCAGGAAGCTAGCTCACAGGGTCCCCATGGGTGATCTACTCTGTGTTTAAATATTAACTCCCATGTTTATTTCTCCAAAATCTTGTTTATAATTTGCTGCCATGTTAACTCCAAATAACCTGACTCATTGAGAAGCCAGATGGGTCAACAAGGCTTTAAAAAAGTGGTTTAAAATCATTTTTAATTGACATTTGTTGTAGTAGATGTAGGAGTTAAGTGGGGAGGGAATATGGTGGTTATTCAGAACAGAGCTCTGGTATCTGATGGTGAGGGGTGTACTAAACCCCAGCTGAAGCTGTGACAGTGCTTGTTGGATTAATCATGTTCTGTGTGGGAACCTGAACGAGTCATCTCAGTGCTGAGGGGTTAGTGGCACCTCTCTGCAGAAATGTAATGCTGGGATGGAGGTAAAAATACCAAACTGTAGCACGTCCTTACCAGAGTTGTGTGAAGTGCCCAAAAATAATGTGCCCTTGTTTCATGGGGTTGTTGCCTGTGCCTCCCATTCCTCAGCCCTTAGGGAAGCTCATTATTCTGCATCCACAGCTTGTACCTGTACAAGCTTTTTCACTCTTGCATGTGCAGGTGAGCAGTGGGATCTCCCAGCTATCAAGAGAAGGAGAAGTTAGGCTTTCTTCAGTTGTCAGGGCTGTATTTGTATTCCCATGAAAGTCACACCTGATGGCGGGCAGAGCACAGGTTTAGTGGGCCTTGTGACAGCTGGTGATTAGCCATAGCTTGGGCATTCTTCAGCTTGGGTGTAGTTTCCCAAATGTCAGTGGGATGGAAAGGGAGCACTAGGGATGCATAAGATCTAACACTGCCTTGCTTCCTGCCTTTCTAGTTTCGGGACCATGTGAAGACGTGCGGCAGATCCAAAGTACCTTGCCGGTTTGAGGCTGTGGGCTGTGCTGAGGTGGTAAGGGCCTCCTCTCTTGGGTTACCCTGGGGTTTCTCAGTCCCAGCATTAGAGTTCACCTGCAAACTGCCATTGCCCAAGCTGTCACAGCTGTTTTCCTTCAGGTATTTGATTAAACCCATTGCACATGGAGCTTCACATCATCTGCTGTGCAGTCTGGGTATCCCAGGAATTAAATTCCTGTGGAAGGAAATCTCCTCCTACTTTAAGTGCTTTGGAACTCTGGTGGTTATGCTTCTTTCAGGGCGAGTGGCTTCACACTGCCGGAGGTCAGGTTCAGATGAGATTTTTACAAAGAAACTGTTCCTTGTGAGGGCGGGCAGGCCCTGGCACAGGGTGCCCAGAGGAGCTGTGGCTGCCCCTGGATCCCTGGAAGTGCCCAAGGCCAGGTTGGATGGGGCTTGTTCCTGCCCAAGGCAGGGAGTGGGACAGGATGAGCTTTAAGGTCTCTTCAAATCCAAGCATGTGTGTAATGACTTGTGATTACAGTGATTCTGTAAGTGAAGAAATGGGGCCAGGCCATTTCTCTATGTCACTTTGTTTTTGCAGGTCCCACTGGTTCAAATAAATGCCTTCTCCAGGAGGTTATGTGAGGCTTTGTCCTTTGTTGCTGCTAGGTACATCTGACAGAGCTTTTCTGGGAGGGGTTGGAGGAAGGCAGAGCAGACTAGTACAGCTGGGGGAAGCGTGTAACATCCATCATTATATGTGATTTGAAGCATTTCTAAAACTAAACAAAAACCCAAATCACCTCCACCGAAAGACATTTTTAAATTCTTTATTTGTTTTTTCCCCCCTGTAAATTATAAATTTAAAGCTGATGTTGTTACCTGGATAGGAGAAATTTGTCCTGTGGATGGTGGCAGTGTAGATTGCACATGCTGAATGAGAGATGTATTTCTCTTCATGTAGGTGGAAAATGAAAAGCTCCCCGAACATGAAAGGAAGTGTTTGGCAGAGCATCTCTACATGCTTCTGAGCTCTGTGCTCAGCCTCAGGACTGGTGCTGGGGACCTGAAACCCCTTCCTGTCCCTTCCTCATCACAAAACAGCTCCCCACTTCTGGCAGCAAACTCACTGTGCTCGGAGTCGGAGCTCTCCCGGTCCCTGGAGCTCTTGGGAAGGTGTGAGGCCCTTGAGAGGAAAACAGTTACCTTTGAGAACATTGTCTGTGTGCTTAACCGGGAGGTGGAGAGAGTGTCCCTGACAGCTGAAGCTTACAGTCGCCAGCACCGGCTGGACCAGGAGAAAATCGAAACTCTCAGCAACAAGGTATGTAACTGCTTGCCTCAGCTTCCCAGAACTCCCAGCAGACGCTGTTTCCTGTTTCCTTTCTGTCTCATGAGCTAACAGAGCCTCACCACTCAGCCCTGAAATTCCACAAATCTGAAGGCAGAACTAAAATACCCTTCGTGCCTGTGCCCAAAGCTCATCATCTCCCTGGAAAAGCTGGGAATTTAACTGACCTGTGTGAAGCATCCGATCTCTGTTAATTATCAAACTGGGCAAGATACCAAGGGGTTCTTCCTCAGCAAAGATTTCTGACAAGAGCCAGAGCACCCGGAATTTCACTGCATCTCCTTGTGCTGCATCTCATGAATCTGTGGAGCTGCTCACCTTCCAGACCTTTCCAAAGGAGTGCTGCCTTTGCCAAAGGAGTGCCGTCAGTGGTGCTGCCTGCAGCAACACACTGGAGGTGTGAAGGAGCTGCCTTCACCAGTCTGCTCCTGCACAGTCCCTGTGGAGGGCTCCTAGTGTTCCTGGCACCTGGAGCTGTGCAGTTTGCAGCGTACCTGTACCCTCTGGGCAGCTGATCTAGTGTGACCCTGTGTGAGCTGGCAGGGACGAACCCTCCAGAGGGTGTAGGTTCTTTTCTTTCTCAATTTAGTTTTGTCAGAATGCTGACTTATCGGGGATTTTTTTCTCCATCCTCTCTTTTGTGCCACTCAGCCAATGGAGCAGCTCCTTGGAAGGATTTTTACATTGGCTACAGGAAATTTCCCAGCTCAGGCACTAAGCAGTATTGATGGACCTTCTCCAGAGTGACAGTGTGCAGAAGAAAGCTTCAGTGAATTGGTTTATGTTGCTGGGTTTCTCCTTCCCGTACTTCCTGTCCATTCTGGAGAAAGTCTGTCAGTAAGAAGCAGCCCCGAGGGGATGCCGGGCTCTGTCAGGGTTTGCCATCTCTCCCAGGCCCCAGAGCCTGTGTGTTCCTAACCTGCACATGTGTCCCGGAGCAGGTCCGGCAGCTGGAGAGGAGCATTGGGCTTAAAGACCTGGCCATGGCTGAGATGGAGGAGAAGATCCGCAACATGGAGGCTTCCACCTACGATGGGGTTTTCATCTGGAAGATAACAGAGTTTGCCCGGAAGCGTCAGGAGGCGATAACAGGCCGCTCTCCTGCCATCTTCTCTCCAGGTGTGCAAAATCCCCAAAATCTTTTGCATCTCAGCTGCGTGTGAGTTTCATGGCAGATCCTTTGCTTGGGAAATGCTACCAAGGCCAGACTGAGAAAAAAAATATTCTATGTGGAAGGGGGTGTTTTGTCTTGGAGAGTGAAGCATGCAGAGCAGTGCTGTTCCAAGAGGGAAGAGAGGGCTGAGAGGAGAGAGGTGCAGCCTGTGGATGAGATGAGAAAGGGAATTGGCTGTAATTGTTTGATTTGCATTAGAAGTAAAGGCAAGGAAATACCAGCTGATATCTGTGTTAAAGAAAAGGAAGTGGAGATACTGCTTGCAGTGTTGTGAGAACAGAGTGATTGCCACAGGGTTTGGCAAAGGGCAAAATCTTGAGTTCAAAACAGCAAGTTGTACAAGGAAGGTTCATTCAGGGCCTGATCCGGGACAAGCCAGGGTGAAGCCCATCAGTCTCTCGGGGGGAAGGGGGAGGGCCTTACTGGGTTCTTGCTCTGCTCCTTGCCTGAGCCAGGGAGAGCAGGATGCCCAGCTGCATTTTCCCTCTCCCTGGCTATTCCCACCATTCTGGAGCCATCTTTCCTTCTGTTCCTCGATGGGTTTTACATTCAAAAGGTGATGGGAGTGCTGAGAAGGCCCAGAGGGGCCAGTGGGGGATATTCTCCTTGGACTAGCAAAGGGATCATCTTTCCTGAGAGCCTTTGGGTGAAGCAGGTGGGGAGAAAGGAGCAGAGGAAATGAGCTGGGGATTTCCAGGAGGAACACAGTGACGAAGACCTGATCTATTGTTCCTCATCCTGTGGAAGAGTACAGTGTCTCTGCTATTCGTGGTCTGCCTGTTGGGAAAAGCACCAAATCCTGCAGTAAAATATTGGCTGTGAACCCTGATCTCTTCCTGTGCCTGCTGAGCCTCACCAGTCCCAGATGTACTGCTCCGGGCTGCTGTGGGAGGGTGACTTGTGGCAGGTCTCCTTCCAAGCTGTGACCCCACACAGGTCTAGTGTCACACCACAGGCATTCCCAGGACTGCTGAGGAAGGAAAGTGCCTGACATCCCATCCCAGACATGCCCAAGCCATGCCATGGGGATCCAAATGAGAACTAAAGTTCACTTGCTTGAGCCCCTTCCCGGATCAGAGGCACCAGCTCACAGTGGGGGTGCTGAGGGTGCTCTGCCGCCAGCCAGGTGCGTTATGGAGGGGTTTGTTCCTGCTCACCAGTGTTACTGCCATGAACCACAGCTCCTTCAGCACTGGGGTGCAGGAGGATTGGCCCAGCTCTGGGGCAGATCTCCCCTGGCAGTGAGGAACAGCCAGGGGACCAGCAATTGCTCTGTGCACAGCATCTGCTCAAGCCAGGGGCTGCAGTGCCTGGCCCTGGGCTTTCCAGACCACCTCTGGTGCAGCCCAGACCTGGCTTCTCCCAGATTCCAAACTTCAGAGCCCTCAGAATTCAGAGAGATCTGCTGGTGCCAGGCTGTGTTGCATTGGACCCTCACTGTGCCTGTTGCACACTTTAACAGCTTTCTACACCAGCAAGTACGGCTACAAGATGTGTCTGCGCGTGTACCTGAACGGGGACGGCACCGGCCGCGGGACCCACCTGTCCTTGTTTTTTGTGGTGATGAAGGGACCTAACGACGCACTGCTGCGGTGGCCCTTTAACCAGAAGGTGGGTCTGGATCAGAGCACACTGTGTCCGTCTGTGGCCTCTCTGGTTTGGCATCCGCTCAAGCTTCTTAGTACTGTCACTCTGACCCGCTTGGCAAGGCAGAGGAAGGGCTCTGTATTGGCTGCCCTGGGGGTTTCCCGGGTGTGCTGAGAGCACTGGCTGTGCTGTGGGGCAAGGGGTTGACATGGGCTGTTTGGAGCTGCACAGAGCCTCTGCAGGGGTTGAGGGCAAGGGAAGGTTGTGGTGGCCTCAGAGCTCAGGGACAGTGGGTGCTCACTCCCTGTCCGGAGCTCAGACCCAGTTCCTGGGCACTGCAGGTTTGTGGAACACATGGAGGCTGAGTGAGCGGGCAGAAGCAGATGCAGAGAGGACAAGAGCCCTGGCTCAGGGAAATACCTGAGTGCAGTGTCAGTTCTGAGAGCAGAGTGTAGGTTTTCAGTCAATCGAACAGATTTGTGCTGCCACAGGGAAGTTTCCAGTGACAGGCAGATGTGGGAATGGGCAAGATTTCTACAGGACATTACTGAGGTGATGTTCTCTTCTGGTCCCACTCAGAGGCATTTCTCTGATTTGCAGGTGCACAGGGTGGCTGTGGGTGCTGGTACTTGTATGCGTCACAGCAGGTCACTGGGCAGGGCTTCCATGTGTCTTTTATTCAGCCGCTCCCTATGCTTTCACCTTTCCCCACAGGTCACCCTGATGCTTTTGGACCAGAATAACCGGGAGCACATCATCGATGCCTTCCGCCCTGATGTGACGTCCTCATCCTTCCAGCGCCCTGTCACAGAGATGAACATCGCCAGTGGCTGCCCCCTCTTCTGCCCTGTGTCTGTCATGGAAGCCAAGAACTCCTACGTGCGTGATGATGCCATCTTTATTAAAGCCATCGTTGATCTCACAGGCCTCTAACCCTCCTGACCTTGGAGCAGTGAGCATGGAGCCAGCACTGCCCAGGGCATCTCCCGCTTGTGCTGCACTTCAGGCGGGTCTCAGAGCAAGAGGAGCGGGCACAGAGAGGGGAAAAGCCCTTCCTGAAAAGAGACCTTTGCTCTGAGTGGAAATGAGGTGTCTGATGGGAGCCCTCTTTCCTGAGGAGAGGGCTGGGTGGACACTGGCAGGCTGTGGAATATGGAAGATTCCCTGCAGGGACTTGGATGTCTGAACTGCTGCTGTCTGGACTCCAGTGGAAACCAGTGCAGCTCTTGCTCTACCAGTTTAGCTGACATCCACAGCTCTCTGTAGTAAAGAAGCAGTTTTCCCTGCCTGAGCTCCACCTCCTGTGGATTTTGGCTCAGCTGTCTAGAATTTCCTTCTGAGATCTCTATGTTCCTGGAAGTTGTGCACTGTGGGGTGCCATGGCTCTGCACTGCTGGTTGCTCCACAGCCTGGGAGACAAGGAGGGTGTAATGCCAGCTGGGCAAGAGAGACACAGACTGGTTTGATGCTGTTAGTGTGTTAGGAGAGTGCTGAGACCAGCTGCAGGGCAGGGGAGCCCTGAGTCCAGCCCTTGCTGGGTGTGTGATGGGTGGTGCATGCTGGAGTGTGGAATGGGGCAGGAGGTGCTGCTACCAAGGAGGGACCATGGGGCAGCACCAGGGTTGCCTGTGGGGAAGAAGTGAATCTGCAGTGGAGATTGTCCCTCCTGTGCCAGGAGAGGAAGTGACACAGAGCTCAGTGTGCACCCTGAGAGCTCCAAGCCCTCCCCCTCTTTGCCATGTGTGCCAAGCAACACTGGGTGGGAGTGGTGCTGTGCTGGGAGCTGTCTTTGCTCATAGGCAAAGACACAGGCTCTGAACTTGCTCCGCTCCCACGGTGGAACAGCTCTACCATTCTTCCCAGGGCTCCTGCTGCTGCTGAGCTCCATGTCCATCTGTGGCCGCACTCCTGTGTCTGTCTGGGAAGCAACCTTGGGCTGTGGGCTGTGTACTGTCTGCCCATGCAGTGGGGCACTGCTGGCCAGCCCCTGCACTCTCACAGTGCCTGCAGTCATCAGCAGCAGGTCTCCCCCACTGTTCCTCCCCATCCCTGAGCTCAGGATGAGTCGCCTGGTTCCAGGTGTCAGCACCCTGGAGCTCTTCCTTCACTTGGCCCCACATTGAACCTGCAGCCACCTGAGTAGGATCTTGGGGCTGGAGAAGTGAAGTGTGCTGTCCCCTTTCTGTCCCTGGGCTCCTTCCCTCTGGGCAGCACATGTTCAGCAACCATGAGAAGGTCTCTCTTGGTGTTAGTGGGGAAGAACTGGCTGCCACATCCCTGCATCATTCCCTCTGCAGCTTTGTTGTGGCCATGGGTAGCTCTGGATGGGCCTTGATCCAGGGTGGACTCAAAGCTTTGTTGCCTCCTTTGCCTGGGCTTCCCACATCCTGTCAGTGGCTGAACGTGCCACAGGAGATGTTTTGTTGGTGACAGGAACCAGCTGTGAACACCCTGCAATGATCAGGGGCCCTGGCTGTCTCTTGTGCTGCTCCTTGGGCAGTGGGGCTGGAGCATGGTCAACTTCCTTGATGGCTGCCAGGGATTGGCCCTTCAGCATCTCCTGCCAGGTGCCCAGCCCAGGTCTGATGGCTGCAGAGCCTGCCAGGCTTGTGGTGCTCACACCTTGCCTCTGGCACAGCCACCCTGAGGGATACAGAACACCGTCAGGCTCTGTCTGGCTGTCCCCACCATGTGCTGGCACTGCTCTTACCTGCCCCTGGAGCTGTTTGGAATGTCCCTGCTGCTGCCCAGGAACTCAGGGGCCTCTAACCCTCCTGCCCTTGGAGCAGTGAGCAGGAACCAGGAACTTGGAGCATGCCCAGGAACTCAGGGGTGCCCAGTGCTCTGCAGGCTGAGCTGGACCCTGGCTCAAGCTGAACCTCTTGCACCCTCATCTGCTGTGCTGGCCAGGGGCTCTCCAGACAGGTGCTGGGGTGACGTGTGAGCACCCTTTGGAATTGCTGCATGGAACTTCTCACACGTGTGTGTGCAGGGTCTGAGGGCAGACCCAACCCTTGCTGTTGGAAAAGGGGGATAGAAGCTGGTGACAGCACAGCCTGAGGTGGGAGAGGAGTCACAGGACCCTTCCCTTTGTGCAAGTCACCTCTAGCCTGTCCCAAGGGACAGATCAAGCCCTGTGTTGCTGCCCTCACTCTGTGCCTTACAAGGAAAATTCAGGCTGGCAGAGCCCTGTCCCCATCTACAGCAGCTCCCCAGGGATGCTTGGAAAAGCCTGGGAAGGGAGAGGAAGGTCAGCTCTGCTCATAGAATTGCTGGGAATTGAGTGTTATATGGGGGGGGAGCTTGTTCTGTGTTGATTAGAATGTCTGCTAGTGGGATGCTGCCTGCAGCGGGGCTGGGGGCTCTGGCCAGGTAGTGCCAGGAGGGACTGTGGAGACACTGGCTGAGATGGAGGGATCTGGGCTGCTTTTGGGGTGGGAACTGGTCCTCCTGCCCCAGCATATGTTAGGAAGGTCTGTGGGGGTCAGTGCTGCAGCAAAGCTCAGGCCGAGCTCTTCAGGCCATGGGCTTACTGCTGGAGGGCAAAGATGGGCTGTCAGCCCCTCCTGCCGGGGAGCTTTTTCCTCCCCACCCTTCTGGTGATGCTGATGCTGTCCGGGCCTTTTTTGGCTCTTAGCAGCTCTGGAGCTGGCAGCAGGAATTGTTCTTATGTGCTGCAGGCAGGGGCCCAGCCCCTTCCTGGGCACAGCTCTGCCGGCTGGTGGCCACATGGACAAACCCTGGACAAAAGCCACCACTGGATTTTTGTGGTTTTTTTTTCTCCTTTTGACTACACCATCTCAGCCTGGCACTGTGAACTAGGTTTTGTTTTCCTTGAGGGTGTAGTATGGTCAGAACCACTAATAAAAGCTATTTGAACAGCATCGTTGTGTATGAGCCTGGGGTTCCTGGGCACAGCATGGGGGGGGGAAGGATTGCATCAGGGTAGGGGCGTTTCTGTGCTGGGGGATTATTTCTGTGCTGGGAACTTTTCCCCAGCTCCTGGGTCCCTGCAGGATTCCCAAACGAAGAGGGAAGTAGCTGGAGTCTAGCTGCTGGAGCTCCACTGGTCCAAATGCCAGTAGGAGCCAGTGCAGCAGTGGTTCCAGTGGTTCTGCTGCTGCTAAGGCAAATCCAACACTCCTGTTCCTGGGTTGTAACAGCTCTGAGCTCCTCCAGAACAGCCTGCTTTTCCCTCGCTGCTGTTGGGAGCCCAGTGCCTGCAGGATGCCTGTTCCTGCCCCTCTCAAGCTGCAGCACCAGCCCAGGGACTAAACCCATGTGGGGGCAGCAGCCTGGTGGCCTCTACCCACTGTGTATGGAAGAGACAAACCGAAGGGATGACCACAGGTACCTGTCCCCTCTGGGAAGCCCCCAGACCCCCTTCATACCACAACAGCTGCTGCACCAGGGAGATGCAAAGGGCAATGAGGGGGCCAGTGGCATTGCAGCTCAGGAGGCTGCTGTGGCACAGGAATGCCAAAGAGCATTGGAGAGCTCTCTGCTTACCTGTTCCGTGCCTGTTAGTGCTTGGAAAAACATAAATCCAGGAGGGATCTAGCCCCTGGCCTGTCCTGGAGCCTGCAGTGTTCAGCCCTGGCTGCCATGGATGCTTGCTGCCCTTTGGCTAGCCCCCTGCCTCTTTCCTGTTGCTCACAGCTCTTTTCCCACACTCCCCTGGCCAGGGCAGGTAACCACAGGCTGGGCAGCAGCTCCTGCAGTGCTCCAGCCCAGCCCTGTGATAGTCCTGGCCTCAGCTGTGCCTCAGCAGAGCAGTGCTTGGAAAAACAAGCTCACATTGCAGAGATGCTTTAGCAGAGTATTTATTCAATGCCAGAGTGAAGAGCAAAACTCAGTACAAACAACACCTCAGTGCCTTGCTCGCTGCTGCACCGAGCCACGAGTGGAGAGTTCACAGTTGGGGGATGAAGGGGAGGCTGTTCCTTCACTGTGTGACTGGACAGAGCAGGATATGGAGCCTGTGTGCACACACAGGAAAGAACCCCTAATTTCATGACAGAAAACCTGAGTACAGGGGTTTTGGATGAAGCTGGGGCACAGCAGGACACAGGTGCTGACCCTCCTGCTGCAGAGGCTGCTGAAGCCCTCAGTGCCATTGTGACAGAAGCTGCCACCTCCGTCAGGTCTATCAACAACCCCAGATTGGGAATGGCACAGGCACCTGCCCTGGGGCCCCAAAATGCCTCCCCTTGCGGCTCCTTCCCTGCCCTGCTTCCAGGAGCAACAGCAGCTCTCAGGGCCCCCCATTGAGGCCAGGTCAAGATTAGGAGCTTAATTTTAGACTCTGACATTTGGGTACCTGCTACAGGGACCAGAAGCTCAAGGGACAGACAGTGAGCACCACTGAGTCCATACCGTCCCCATTTCCTGTGGGGTCCTGGAGGAACTGACCCCCTCCATGGCAGCTCAGCCCCAAGGACAGGGAGCTTATTCAGCTGTCACTGCAGGCAGGAGGGCTCCATCCCCATCACCTGCAGGTGAATGAATACCTACAGCACCTGTGGGTGCCTACACCTATTCACAGAGAACATACCAAAAGAACCTAAATTGCCATGATTGGGTAGCATGGGCAGGAGGTAAGCTGTCCTCACAGGTACCCCAGAAAGGGACAGCAGATCCACCACAATGAATACGTTCCCAATCCACAGCTTATTGAAGTGCTACTCAGAGGAAGACAGGCACAGCCATGTGACCACCAGCCCTGCCCCCCTCCCAAGTTTGGAAACTGGCAATACCAATACACAGAGCACGGGCCAGTCAGGCTCCCAGCCCTGGCCCTGCTGCCCCCTCACTGCTCCCAGTCCCTGCTGCCCTCCTGGGCAGAGGTGCCATGGGGCAGAGGCACTTGACATTCCGCAGCAGCCAGACGAGTTGGTCATGGAGCCTTGGGACAAACACACATTAATAAAACGGCAATATAAAGAGAGTCCTGCAGTCAGGCAGCACGGCTGCACCATGGCTCCTGCCAAACACTCTGCAGATGGCAGCTCCCAGTGTGGCTGGCCATGTCCCCAGCTCACACAATCCCACACTGGACATGCCTCAGTGTCCCCTGTGCCCAGAGCTCACCCAGGGAGCTATGCCCAAGTAGCAATGCTGGTGAGAAGCTGTGGGAGCCCACCCTGCAGTGACCAGCTCAGCTGCTGCCCAGCAGAACCACACCAGGGCCCCAGCTCCTATGTCCTGTCTGAAACTCATGCTTCAAGGAGGAGGCGATTCCTGCTGCCAGGGCCCCTTGTGGCTCAGCCATAGGATCTGTGTGCCTAGAGCTCATCTCTGTGCAGGGCTCAGGGCTCTGTGAGCTCA